TGCGATTTGGTCAGGATGCCGCCTGGACGCCTTCCTGGGATGGTGTTTCAGGCAGGTGGACCCCGGGTCGACCGAGGACACATTAGAGCAAGTGCATCACAAGTCTGGGAACGCCTTGGGGTCCTGTTGGGGGACCTGGTGGAGGTGGCTGGAGAGAAGGCTGTCTGGGATGCCCTACTTGAGATGCTGCCCCTGTGACCCAGACCCAGATAAGTGGAGGAAAGCAAACAAACAGTATTGGTGAAAATGATTCTCTCTGAGAGAAAAGCCCAATCAATCACAGTCGTTATTTATTTACACAAACTTGGGTCATTTAGGCCAAATCTGGAATTTTTCTCTGGATCCGTGGACTTTCTTTGTATACTTAACTCTCACAATACAGAAAAATGTCAATTTACAGCAAAAAAGTGTGTTTCAGTTGATCTTTTTAGAACAAGTTGCCTCTGAGCTGATGGCATGCTGTCAGTGTTGCATCATGTTATTGCAGCAGCACGTTCTTACTGTGATCGTCTGTGTGTGGTCAGGTTTTACACTAAATACTTTAACATCACACATCAACATTTGATTCTTAGCTGGGAGCATGTTGGTAAAAGTCTTCGACAGCCTCTTCAAAGGAAATGAAAATAAAACATTAAAAGGAAAAACCTGGAACTTTATTCTGTTTTTCTGCTGTTACTACGATGAATGCTGTCGACTTATATCATGAAAGAAACTTCCTGATTTCTGTCTTACTTTATTGCAGTACCCCCTAAAATACCTGAACTGACCCATAAAACCAAGGATCAAAGTTTAACAAAACATTTTGGTTTTTGCGCTGAAGTGCATTAGAGTCCTAAATAATTAACTTAGGAAAATAAACGCTGATTGTTACAGTAAAGTGTTTTCTCCTTTTTGATCTGTAATTGAATTTTTATGTTTTTCTGTGGTACCGTTCAGTGTGATGAAGCTACAACATCTTTGATCAACTAATCATCTAAACATCATTTTAGCATCAAGCTCCCAAGATTTCATTCAGCACTGGTGATAGTTTTACTCACCACACTGACGCATATGCTGCATTTGATGAAACCTACATGGAGAGAACAAAACTAGAACAGGATTGACTGATTTTTCTTTTATTTTTACCACAATCTCCAACAGGCAGAAGTAAGAATGAAAAATAGAGTTTAAGTCCCAGAAAAACCAGTTTGATGCTTTTCTTTTGGCTAAACATGGACAACATTCATGTCCAACCTTTAATTGAACCAAAGCTGTTGTTTCATCACTCATCAGATGAGTTAAAATCTCCAGTTTACAAAAAAATACAAAAAGAAAAACCTATTACACTTAAGATATGAAGTCCTGTAATATCTAACAATACTTATCTGAGTTTAATCTCATAAGTTTAACATAAATTATTTAATGTTTTTCATGTTTCCCTTAAAACTAAAATTGTAAAAATGCTAAATGAATAAATGTATCAGTTGTATTCTTAAAGAGACCGTGTTGTTTTTACTGTTCATCTGGAAACATCCATCAAAATGTGCTTGAAAATGAATTAAATGAGGCCCAGTTATTGATAAATATTGGGGACTTTGTAACATCTAACAGTAAAAATCAGGTCCAAGTCTCTGGGCGACGCCATATTAGACACCATGTTTCCTTCTACATGAACCCGTGAGGACAAAGTGCTTTTATTGGTTTGTAACAAACGGTTAAATGTTGTTTTAAACATTTACCTCTTCATTGTTGCCACTGATGAAGGGGAGTCTGATGTGCTTGTCATTTTGCTGGAGGTTGCTCTGCCAGGGATTTTTGACCCTGTTGGTAAGGTCTTATTCAAACATAAAAATACTGCTTGCTTGCAATGATTTAGGTATGTACTGCCCCCTACTGCCATGGAAAATACACACCATCATTTTAAAATGCTCCTAATGGTGGTTTTTTAACACCTGTTCTGTGCGCTAAGGTTGTCTTCCTCCGTGGTGCGGTTCGTCCCAGCGGCCATCCATCTCACCAGCATGCAGAACAAGTCCCCATAATCTGGGTCTGAAATTGAAGCCAACACGGAAGTGACAAAAAATGCAGTTCCACCCTCATCCGCTAGGGGCTGGTGTGAGAAGCGAGCAAATCCTCATTGACTCCCATGTTAAAAATACTAATTTCACAGCAGAAATAAACATGTTTACAGCCTGGTTCCAAAACATGTTTTTGGTTTAAATGATCTAGTTTACACTCATGACAACTCTGAGGGGGGTGAATTTTTTTGTCACTCTTCTGTTTAAGTGTATTAAAAGCATGGATGTAATTTTTTTTGGGGGGGGGACATGTCCCCCCAACTTTTTCCAAAGTCAAGTTTTGACCCCTGCACTTTTTACCATCCAAAAGCAATATTACACTATATGAAATTGACACTGGTTGAGCTCTAGGACCAAGCGGAAAACAACCATTTTGTTGAAGCCCGTTTCCCATTAGAGCATACTGTAAAGATACCCCCCCACCCCCACCCCCCGTGTCCCCCCCCCCACTTCTAAAGCGAAAATGACGTCCATGATTAAAAGCCTAAAAGTCTGAATAATTAATGAGCATCAGACCCACGTGACCACAGAGCTAGCTCCGGGAAAAGGTCTCAGCCTGAGCCTCGGCCTCGCCTGAAAACTGTTCCGCCATTTTCAGTCTCTCAACTTAGACCATTAGTTGCAGCGTTTGTGCATTCTTTTTGGATATTATTTGTGCAATTGTTGGACAAAATGACTTGCTGTGGATTTAATTGCACTAATAGAGCATCCAAGGAGTCTCCACTTCATTTTTTTCAGTAAGTAAAATTATATTTATGTATTTTAGGTCACTGCCGCTCTTGCGCTAGCTGAGCTTAGATTTTAGCATGTACTGTTTAACCATGAAATTTAAATTTAATATCTCTTCTTCCGGCTCTTGGCGGGTGCAGATGCTTTTTTCCTTCCCTCCTCCATATCTTATCCTCAAGGCCTTTGTCTGTCTCTGTGTGCTGGGTGCACGGCAGCTTCTGCATTTTTCTGGAAACTGTAAACTGAAATACATTTAAATGGATCTCGTCAGCTGGTCTCTCAACGCAATTGATAAAATTTTGTCAACGATAAGAACGGGAGAAGGGGCTCCCGGATGTCCTGCCGGTTTAGACCCAGTTGGACTCCTGGAAACAGTGGAACTTGATTTGTTTATCTCAGCTGTCTGTGGAGGACTCTGAAGACATGTGGATATTCGTGGTGTTGGTGTCAGGTTTCCTGCTCATTGGCCTTGGAGGCTACCTGGCTTACCGGAAAATTAACGAGCTGTCGAGGAATATTGGCCTGATCCCGGAGCTCAGAGATGGTTTGCACCACGCTGTGAATTCACAGACTCAGATAATTGTCGAGATGAATCGTAAGCTTGGGACTTTGGCGGAGATTCATTCTTTGGCACAAAAGATGGATGCCATCAAGGAGAAAGTGGATGAATCAGCACAGATTGGGATAGATTAACGTCCATTATTATTGGGATTCTGAGAGGTTGAGGACCAACAAACTGTAAGACAAAGAGGAAATGATCTCTGTCTGGCCCCAAAACAATTTCTAATTGGAATCTGGCGTCCTTGAGCCTGCTAGGCTCCAACACCCCCCCACCCCCACCCCCCCACCCCTCAGAAGAAATGTGGAATGTGCCGTCGCTATGGCAACTCAACTCTGCCTCCTTTCCTAGCCTGGGCGGGACAGCGGGAAGGCCGCCGAAGCGTCCAGGGTCACTGCAACCCTCCAACCCTCAATGCTCTCCCCCTATCCACACTGAGGTGACATGCGCTGCTTCATCGTGGCTGCAGGAACTGAAGTTGGGATAGTCCCAACCCACCACCCCTCCTAGTGGACACTTATGTTGTGTTTTCTGAAGTCTGTTGCATATCTCTGTCTGAGGTGTTTTTTTGCAGAGCAAAGCTGCTCTCCTGGAGGGAGGGTAACTTTCAAGTGCCTTTTTTCCCCCTCCACCTGAACCAATCCTCATGTAACCCCTCTTATCTCTATTAAGGTAGCACGACTCAGGGTTGCGAATGACCACAGTCACCAATTCTTGTCATGTGTCTTGCCCATGTATGTCTGATCTCTGAATTGTGTATACTGAAACTCTAATTTCCCTCTGGGATTAATAAAGTATCTTTGATTTGATCTGATTTGAAAACCCGGTGCATTTAACATAACGCTGCATTTTTTAAAAAAATGGATTGAAATATAACATGTTGGGTGAGTTGGATTCCGACTATCGGTATGGTTTCCTCCCCTCAATCTCTGATCGCTGCGGCTCCTGTCTGCTGCGCGAGCTGCCGGCTTGTGGAGCTCTCGGGAGACCTCTGTGTTCCACCCGGTTTTACCCAGCAGTCAGCCCGGTGCATCTGTGACTCCGAAGCTCCGGTGTTGTGCACAGTTAACTCCGGTTGTAGCTAGGTAGCTACCTCCATTAGCTTAGTTCCCAACTCCGCGTTAGCTTTGGGTTAGCTTGTAGCTACATCGCTTCAGTTCGACGGGTGTCGCCTTACAGCCCCACCTCTTTTCCCTTTTTTGGAATTGTCTGGGTTTGACGGAACCTGTGACAAGGTCAAAATGGCGGTGGTGGCCACCTCCCATTTTGGCACAAAAACTTATAATTGGAGCCTGTGGAAACGAATTGTCCAGTATATATGTCGATGGTGCAGAAAAACCGTATAGAGACCCAATATGTGTGTTTGATTAATATTTTGATGTATCAAAGCTTTATGGAAGCCTGAAGGTCACCTTTACATACATAAGATGTGCAGCCCTGGCAAGTGATTCTCATAGTGAAGGTGACCAATCAGACCTTTTGAGAATTTGTTGTCAAGAAACGTTGCAACAAAGAAATAATCAACCAAACGTGTTGTGCAAATTAAATTTTCCATGCACAAAAACTCTATGGACAGAATAAAGTTTCTAATGCTAATCTATAGTCTGGTCATCAGGGGTATAAATTATAAAAGGGTAGAAAAAAACACAAACATCCAGTTTTCTGTGCTCTATTTAATTTATAATGTCAGCATACAGTTTAAGGATGCTTTTGAGCCATTGTTCTCCACAGATTCAGCTACAGACAAATCAACCATTTATACTACGTATAAGATTTACTCAGAAGCAAAACTATTCCTCTGTCATTATCACTCCAATTTCACGGTTTCACCTTTAATTTATCTCAGAAGTTTGGTTTCCAAATAGATTCAGATTCTCAAGGAAGTTCTGCAGCTTTCATATTATAAATCAGCTGAGCTAGTTTTCAATAAGGGCAGTTCCTCCTCATCATCATCGTCATCACCCTCATCGTCACCATCATAACCACCAACATCATCATCATTATCACCACCATCATCATCATCATCATTACCATCACCCTCATCATCACCACAATCATCATCATCATCATCATCGTCATTACCATCATCACCATCACCACCATCATCACCACCAACATCATCATTATCATCATCATTACATCACCCTCATCATCACCACCACCACCATCATCACCACCATCATTACCATCATCACCATCATCATTACCATCATCATCATCATCACCACCACCACCACCACCACCATTACCACCAACATCATCATCATCATTACCATCATTACCATCATTACCATTGTCATCACCACCATAAATATCATCATCATTACCATCATCATCATCACCATCATCATTACCACCATCATCAACATCATTACCATCATCATCATTATCATTACCATCATCATCATCACCACCATAAACATCATCATCATCACCATCATCATTACCATCATCATCATCATCACCATCATCATCATTACCACCATCATCATCACCACCACCATCATCATCATATCACCACCATCATCATCATTACCATCATCACCATAAACATCATCATCATCACCATCATCATCATCATCATCATCACCACCATCATCATCATCATCATCATCATATCATCACCATCATCATTACCACCATCATCACCATCGTCATCATCATCATCACCACCACCACCATCATCGTATCATCACCATCATTACCATCGCCATCCTCATAATTACCATCGTCATCATTACCATCATCATCATATCATCACCATCATTATCATTACCACCATCATCACCACCATAAACATCATCATCATTACCATCATCATCATCATCATCATCATCACCACCACCATCATCATATCATCACCATCATTACCATCGCCATCCTCATAATTACCATCGTCATCATTACCATCGTCATCATTACCATCATCATCATCATCATCATCATCATCACCATCATCATCATTACCTTCATCATCACTAATACCATCATCACCATTACCATCACCATCATTACCGTCATTATCATCATCACCATCATCATCGTTGTTGTCGTCATCATCATTATCATCATCATCTTCACCATCATCATACCATCACCATCATCATCACCATCTTCACAATCATTACCAATATCATCATTATTACCATCGTCATCATTACCATCATCACCATCTTCACAATCATCTTCACCATCATCATGACCATTGTGGTCCTCGTGGCTTTAATCCATTAGTAATCTGTATTCTCATTAAGGCAGACATGAATGTAACTTCACTGACGAGCCACAACATCAGTTTTCCACAAAAAACCAGTTCAGGTGGAAGAAACACAAAATTACTTCAGCAGCACTTTTTACATCACAGCTCAGTAATAGAATGATGAAATAATGACGTTTTTAATAGATTTTGATATCTTTTTTTTCAGGGGTGAAATATTTATATCCTCCATTTTAGATCAATAAGACCTTATCGACAATAAGAGATGCATTGCTTTTGAAGCTTTAGCAGTTTTACATCTTATAAAAAAGTTGTTAAATAACTCTAAATAATAAAACACACTGAAATTCAACTGACTAAATTATAGTGAGTGCAGTGAAAGAAGCTGGTGTCCTCTGCATGCTCCCAGGAGGACATGTTTATGTCATAATCACATCAAACTGTCTAGGTGGATTTTTACACACCAACACTTCAGCACAGGTGTTATAGTTAAAAAGTCAAATGCAGAAGAACAACAACATTCTTTGAACTTTGGCTTTTTTATCTAGAGACACAAAGTCCAGTTTGATGATCCCAGAGCTGCTCATAACATTTCTGATAACTAACGTCTCCTGCCTCACTGCTGCTTCTTATTACCCAGCTGGAAGGTAAAATGAATCTAAGATAATAAAGTTACACAATAAAAATAAATCATTTCACCACATTTCCAACATTAGGGTATTATTCTGAAACAGGTGATGAAACTAAAGGTACAAAAAAAAAACTAACTGGAGATTAAAAATGTGTCGGGATTAGGGATTACTGCATGGCACTAAAAATCAGACACAAACATGATGAATAACTTCAGGGGTGTTGGTTTGGTTTAACGCTTCAGCTTCTGTTAAACGAGGCTTCATCCACGCAGCAGCTTGACTTACTTTGACCAAATGAATGTATTAATGCGCTCAAATCTGACCGACACCCCTGAGGTTAACGCCGTTTTAAGAGAAGGAACTAGTAGATATGTTTCTATGTGAACAGAATGCGCTTCAACGCGGTGAGCTGTTGCTCTGGAGAACAAGCTGCATGGATCATGACAACAGAAGGAAGGTCCATCTATGTACAGGTCTGGTTCGGCTGTTTCTGGCACCGGGATTATAATCTGGAACGACGAGTCAGGAGGACATGAGATGAATTAAACTAATAAAATAAAGAAGAATGTGAACAAGAAGATGAATGCGAAACAGACAAATAAACACATTTTCTATAAGATGAGAAAAAAATAAAGGTGAAGTAAAAGAGACGAGAAAAAAAGAAAAGATAAGAGACGGTGAGGGAGGAATGATGGTGACTAAAGAGGAGACACAAGCAAGATGGAGGAGACAGAAGAGAGGAGATCCTCTGGTTCCTCCTAGTGACGAAGAGCTTTCAGGATGGCGTTCACCTCTTCAGCAACCGTCGTCAACGCAAATTCAAACTGATCCTGCAACATAAAGGAAAACAGAGTCAGGCGTACTGAAAGAGCTGGAAAAGATTAAGACTTGTGGGTTGAAAGGAGCTGCTCCTCTCCTTAATCTGGATTGAACAAAACCTTAAGGTGACAAATATCGACCATTTTATCTCAGCGTTTCTGTGTTATTATTTAGATTTAAGGATCTGACTGAATTATGACCTCATCGCGTAGAAAATCAATGTTTTTATTTTAGGCTGTTTGCTAAAAGCTCCAGGGGTTTCCAGATGAGTGAACACTCAGGACTCAGGTGTGAGTGCTACCTTGGTCTGGACCATTCCTGGCCTCTGGTCCCGCAGGTGCTCCAGCGACGCAGCGATATCAATCTCTTTGGCACCTGACAAAAAAAAAAAAAAAAAAAAAGTAGAAATAGAAAAATGATTGAAAGAAGCAACAAGAAACTGTCAGAACTGATGATTTTACCAGTTTTTGTTTTTGTTTGGAACAGAAAAATCATCTTCAGAAACATGCTCTGTGTAAGGATTTAATTTACATCTATTTAATGAACCATAAGACATTAGATTCCATAGAAAATAGGAAATAAATCTTATGGAGCTTTGGGTACTTTTAACCAGAAGATTGGAACTTTTTATTGCAGGGATTATGTAACACTTCGTATTAACTGAGAGACAAGAGAAGAGAGAGTCACCTTTAAAACGTTTAAGAAGATTTATTTCTAAACAATTTTAAACAAGACTAACTCTAAATTCTAAGTGAATGAATGGATATTGGTGTGAATGAGACGTGAGATGAATGGTGTATGTGTGAGTGATGTTGTAATCAGAACTCTCGTATCCGGAGAAGCAAGTCTGAATGATGTTGTGATGTTTTGCTCTTAAGCTATGATCGGAGTTTCATAAACACATGAGACGCTATATTGTCGCTCCACACATACCCTTATGAGGAAACCTCCGTACAGATCCAGAATGCCAGGTACCCCAAACCCACCTTTCGGTACCGGAGCCGATGAAACAGCGTCAACAGTACGACAGACTAGTCTTTGGATTGTCTCCAGGTAAAAAGCGACAGTTGGTTGACAGTGTCAGATGGACCCCCTTTGGGTCTGTGAGTTCAGCTTTTATTCTGAAAGGAACTGTTGCTTGGTTGGTAAAAATGCAACAGATTTTATCCAGCTTGTTGGCTCTTGGCTTAAAAAGGATGTCCAGGTGGCCGGTCAGATACTTCTCTTAGAATGCGATGAACTGCAGAGAACTGTCATGAACTGAATCATTAACTTGTCCTTAAGAATGCGGTGAACTGAACTTAAGATGGTGTGGAAACTGGTTTTATTAATCTGGATGTTTTGATTTCTGGCCGAATTAAAGTTGGCAGATTTATAAACACCACAGAGACTATGCCACGCTTCAGAAAGGAAGGTTCTGATTGGATGAGTAAAAACAATGTGTCGTCCGTTTACATTATGTGAATTAGAATGTCTAGTGCAGCTAGATTAAAGTCATATTACTTATTAAAACTTACTAATCATAACATTGTCATTTCACAGATTGGTCCACATTATTATTGACTAACACTTTGTTTTATTAGCTTATTAAAAATGGAGTTCTTTGATTTATTAAAAAGAAAGAGTCCTTTATCTTCATTCTTCTCTTGAGCTGGAAAGGAAAACAGTTTAGAAGCAAATGCATGAGACCTTGAGGCAATATCTCATGCAGATTAGTTCTTGCTGAGGATGACTTTTAGGTGGAAAACAGTCATTTAATTCCATTACATCTGTGTGTGTGTGTGTGTGTGTGTGTGTGTGTGTGTGTGTGTGTGTGTGTGTGTGTGTGTGTGTGTGTGTGTGTGTGTGTGTGTGTGTGAGTGTGTGTGTGTTATGGTAGAATCCCAGCTTTTATGCCAGCTGGACCTTACAGCTGACAGTGTTTTCATGTTGGTCTGCATTATAAAAGATATTTTTGCAGATTTTATCAACCATTCCAAAGCCAGCATGGCTAGCTGCCATGAGAATCTGTGGAAGAGAGGTGGTAAAGAACCGCCTCGCAGTCTGTCAGACATGCTTGAGTTGCTGGAGGTGATTTTAGACGCATCAGGGCAGTGTGCACTGGATACCGACCCAACTGTGTCACCTGTCGTCAAGAGCCAATGAGAAAGAGAGGGTGGGCTACAGGAAGTAGCAAGAAGAATAAATAAAACATCCATGGAGTAGGACATCAGCTGGGAGGCTTTTGAAAGCTGTGAACTGTTTGATGATTCTGTGATCGTCATGCAAACCTGTCTGTTAGTGAGGACGCTCAGCCTTTTCTAAATGTGTGGGTCTATTTGTAGAGTAAAACCCTCTAAACGTAATCTGTAGATGTAAAACTTCAGCTGGTGCCTTTCAGTGCGACTTCAGCTTTCAGAAGAATGGCTTTTAGTGAGTAAATGTCACGGATGTTGAGCTAAAGTTTTATGTGCTAAACTCTGCAACTGCATCAATAATTTCGCTCAACTTTCCAGAAAAAGCCACAAACTCACCTAAGATAGTGACTTTAATCACAGTTTTGCAGCAGATGTTTTAAGTGAGGACAAATGGGAGGTGCGATGCTCTGAACGCACTCAGAGGGCAGAGACAAAAGTGCATCAAAGTGATATTTCTGGCAATACATCTTTTTAATAAAGCTGTTAATGTAGTTTTCTTTTAGTGAATGTTTTAGACTGAACTATTATTTCCTGGCAGAGAAATGAAGTGCATGCTGCTTTTGAAACACATTCAAATCACCTTCTAATGTCAAAGGAGCGTAATTACTGGTGCGCAGGCATCACAAAGGAAGACGACGGAGAGGAAAGACAAAAGATTAGTCAGGCAGGCAGCAGAAGAATGGATGTTAAGAGCGAAGGTAGACAAGTCGATGAGAAGTGAAATGCTCAAAGACGTGGGAGCAACAATTAAAATTACAGAGAAGAAGAAAAACATTTCATTTGTTTCCTGCCTGTTTCTCATCCTCACCTCCTTCGCTACCCAAATTCTAAAGAGACAAAAAGAGCAAAAATTACTTTTTTCTGTTTGGCGACACATAATGAGGCTTTCTCTTGCCTGCTTGGAGAGGAGCATAAATGGTGGGAGAACACTTCATTCCCACAGCTTCTCCTTTCTATTTCACAAGTTTTCAGAGCAACACAATAGAGTCCATTCTAGCAGGAACACACACTCGCTGGTTTACTTCTTTTTAGGAGGAAAGAACTCAACAAACGAAGGGCTATTGTGTTCTTTCTGATAAACCTCAAAATGGATAGTGTCTAAGACAGAGAAATAAAGCTTTCCTGTTGATAAAACTGCTTTGAAGGCATGGAAGCCTGAAAAAGGAGAGAATAGTTTAGAAACCTCTGGCTCATTTATGTTTCTGTAAGCCCCTAAGAAATCGGGGATGAGATGCTTTAGGAAGGAACTTGCAGCTGAGAGGTGGACATGCTGGACCTGATAAGTGCAGGATTAGATAAAAGACCTTGAAAAACTATTAAGATGTGTGTGTGTGTGTGTGTGTGTGTGTGTGTGTGTGTGTGTGTGTGTGTGTGTGTGTGTGTGTGTGTGTGTGTGTGTGTGTGTGTGTGTGTGTGTGTGTGTGTGTGTGTGTGTGTGTGTAAGTGATGGGGTAAGAGTTTGGGAAAGAATAATGGGCAAGCTTTTCTACAAGAGATCCATAGAAACCCCACCTCAACCCTTCATAATTCCTAAGCTAATCAACAATCCTTCAGTTTGAGTGTGTGTGTGTGTGTGTGTGTGGGGGGGGGGGGGGGGGGGCACACGCAAAAATTAACACACAGATTAAAACCTTCAAACCTGGCATCTGCCTTTAGTCTGGTTTGGTTTTATTTATTCAGCAGCTGAAGCAGCAGAATGGTAGCCTGGCAAGCCAGACTAGATTAAAGTGTTAGTCTGGCAGTGCTCCTTTGATGGCTCTCAGTCGTACGGCAGGTTCTACCGTTGTCTTTCAAATGATCGCCGCACGCTACTGGACAATGAGCAACGTGACGTACTCACTGCAACGGATGTTGGTAAACGAGGCAGGTAAAAATACATCATTTTTTCTAAATAAAGGACTTAAATACATCAATCTGCTCCTGATTCTAGTCCAAATTGTCCTAAATTGATGTAAAAGCTGTTTCAAATGATATGTCCACTCTGTTGCATCATCCCGCCCACCAGAGGAATAGAGGATCCTGATTAGCCCACAAAGTGGATAGAGCACCATGATTGGTCCACAAAGCAGATTGAAACCCCTATAGAGAACTCTGAGTGGCCAGCCAGAACGCTGCTAGGGGCTGCGGAGGTTCCAACGGAGCGTTCCTAAACCAAACTTTGCAAAGCAAGAATTATTTTTTTTAAACTTTTTATTTTGAGTTTGACATTGTACAACGTGCTTTAACAACCCTGACATTGAGCAGGACAATCACAAAAGCACAAATAAATAAATAAAAGAAACAACCAAAATTCTATAAAGAATAAAAGTACAATAATTTAATTTCATCGCTAAGATTATGTTTTTTCCCCTTCTTTTCTTCCCTTTTCCTTCCCTTCTCTTTCCCTCCCCTTCCCTATCTTTCCTTCTTTGGTTTTAGTGTTTTAACCAGCCAGAGGTTTATGAACACTCTTCAGATCCAATAAAATAACTTTAACACAGAAAGTTTTCAGACTCCTCAAATAAAGATTGTTCCGTTTCCACATAGTCAGTTGAAAGCAATAATTTGAGGTGGAATCCCAAATTCTCTCACTGAATCTCATCCTAAAGAACCCAAAAAGAAGAGATTATTTTATTAATAAAGAGATTAAATCTTTGTGTTTATTCCAGTTTGTTGCACGAACATCTGACCCGAGTGTACTGGGGCGCCGTTTCAGATTTGCTCACAAGGTTTCCAACATCACAGGAGTGACTAAACCACCATGGGTGTGAAACGCTTTTTGACGATTCTTTTTATTATTTTGAGCAGAAATATTCCTGAATGCGGACACAGCAGGTTTCTCCTCCACACACACACAAAGTGTCCGGAAGCCCCTCCCCTTTCTTCCAACAGCTCCCCCGAGGCTCCGCCCATCGGTTCCAGATTCTCGGGTTCTGTGATCACAGTGTGACAGCCTGGGAAACGGTCACTGATGCTGAACTGAACCTTTGATGTGGAATTAAAGACCCAGGAGCTCGTTCTGCTGCAGACGTGGCCCCGCCGCAGGACGCAGTGAAACAAAAAGATATTCGCTGCTTTTGCTGCACAGAACAAAAGTCTGAGATCTAGATGGACTGAAATGTGACCCATTCCTTCTTTCCTTACTTTGATTTTCATGAAGAAACTGGAATTTTTGACTCTGTGTTGGAAATGGATACCAGGAGATCGTTTTCTGACTGTTGCTGGACTCGTTTCCATGGTTACCAGAGGATTTGCGCCTTTGCCGAAATGCCGACAGTACAGGCTTCCATGAGGATATCTGTTATAATGATGGAGGTGCAACAAAAAGATGTTTATCAGGGAAAAACAGAATATTTGATCATCTCAGCATGAATGGTCAGCTGTAAATTATTGTCAGTCTGTGCGACAAATAATTTACCAAGTTAGTTATGAGTAGAGCTGCTGCTCCTCCTCATCAGAAACAGTCAGGGAAGGTGGTTGGGGTGGTTCCTCCAAAGCCTTTCCCACTGGGAAAACAAGCTCTAGGAGTTTTATTTCCTGTCTGGCCCTGCAGGGAGCTGTCGTCACGACCAAACCTGAGATTTTAAAAGCGCCGTGACGTTCACGTGTACCTGGCCACTACAAGCCCCAAACGGGTTAACTTTAAACATTAGTATAGAAATATTCCCCAGAAGTCACTACAAGTCTGAATTTTAGGGCACGCTTTATGATGTGTAATATTTCCCTTTTAATGTGACTGGTGTGTATGTGTGTACCTGCAGCCACAAACCATTGGGAACAACAACCCTGGACCAGTCACACTTTTACACATCTTGATCTTTTTTCACGTAGAGATTTTGGGACAATGTAATTTCAGCTCATGTCAAATATTTCTACACACAAATTTTAGGAAGTGTTACACGAAAGCTGTGTCTTTCTTCTCTATTGTGGTCCCTTCCATACTGGCACCATCCTTAACCATTTCCATCATTTGTTCATCACCATGTTTTTATTCTAACAGCCCTGCTGTCATGTCTTTCTTTGGACTTGATTGAGTTTAACTGGGTTTTGTCGGTGTTACATGAGAATCCGAGGCAGCGTTATGACACTAAAGTGCCAACGGAGGTAATGAACCAGACACTCATTAGCAGTAATTAAACCAAAACCCACTAAACAGAAGCAGTTCTGTAAAAAGCAGCTTCAGAGGCAGCAGGTGGAACCGGGTGTGTTAATGGAAAAGGTCACGACTCGATCCAACTCGTCACTCTAATCATCTAATTAAACATCATTAAAAACACAACCCTGAAAGCCTTTATCTCCCTATAGAGACAGTTCTGAGAGGAAAAATGCATGTTGCCATGGTAACGCTTCCCTAGACAACAGCCACACCCACCTTTAGCCATCCTGTTGAGGACCATGTCGATCAGGATGTAGGTTCCGGTTCTTCCCGCTCCGTCGCTGCAGACACAAAGCGGGATCATTTGAATTTCCTTTCCACTCATTTAGGATTAAAAATGTTCCTTTATCAGTGCATTAATACAACTGGATATTTTCTTTTATCCACTACTTAGCTTCTTCAAGCCTGTAGGAATGACTCATCCTTTCACAAGTAAAGGAGTGGTTATACACAAGAACACTATGTCTGCAAATACATCACCAAGCTGAAACCTTTTATCATAAAACTGCATAAAATCATCGCTTTTTGTGTGTGCCTGAAACAAAACAGAATAGTGTGAAGTATGAGGCTTTTAAAGCACAGTAACAGTTACTTTTAAGAGACGATGTGAAAATGAGCTGCTATGCACCGCTGAAGTCCATGTAAATGTGGTAAACATGGAAATGTGTTTGAATTTAGATTTTCACAAATCAGTTCCCTTTGCCGGCCTCCTGAGGGTCATTAAGGATGTTCTGGTCCTGATGAGAGAGAGTTTCATCGCAAATCTGATGATGTCACATCCTGGGAATCTGCTTAGGTTCAAACAGAAATACTGGAGAGCTGAAACCAAAGTCTAACCTTGTTTTTATCTTTTATTTGCTGAGGTCTCACCTCTCCGGTACCAACAACAAATCCTCAGGAGGTACTGGGACTGTCTATGGGTGTTTCAGACGCTAAAGACAAGAACATCAGTATTTTTCATTTTGTGGTTTTAGGTAAATATCAGCAAACATATTCATGTCTGCATAAACAAATATGATGTATCCCATTCAGCACCAGCAGGGGTGTGTGTGTGTGTGTGTGTGTGTGTGTGTGTGTGTGTGTGTGTGTGTGTGTGTGTGTGTTTCAGCACTCTGCTGGGTAAATTAGTGGAGGTGTCTGCTACCTTCTCTGGTTTTGCACACACCTTTAGTAACAGAGGTGATCATTAAACAGGAGGAGGTAGAAATGGACTCCAGAGTGATTATTATTACATTTTGGTAAAAACACTCTTCCGTCCTCTCGCTCCTCCCCAGGACTGCTTCAGCTTGTTCTCCATATCCATTAGAGCTACTGGAGCGCCAGCGCTGGGAAAAACATCTGGAAATAAAACTCTACACTCTCTCATCTATACTGCTGCCCCTTCACGTGGTTTGGTTTACTTCAATAACCTGAACTCTGGAGGCACCTGTTAGGTTTTGGCTTCTGATGAATGTCATGTTGCTGCATTAGAGGATGTCCTGACATGAGATGAAGATAGAGCCATTTACCAGGCGACCCTTCAGAAGGAGAGGCTTATTTATTACATTTGAAATTTACTTAGAAAAAGAACAAAAACAGACTTAAAATCTGATATTTTGTCAGCACACGGACATTATCTCTGCTATTTTTTGATTATTTCCAGCATTCATATAAATAAAATCACAGAAAACTTCCAAATGGACGAAGCTCCTTAAAGACAGATTTAATATTCTGGTGCAGACTGACAAAGAAGTAGATTTTCTTCACACTGAAGGAGCCATGAAGACATAATGAATAATAGATCACTTAGTGCAGCAGTGAGCTGACACAGAATATACGTTCTGGAAGTTTTCATTTAAAAAAGTTGGATTTCAAAGCAAAATGCTGTTTCCTTCTCAGGTGGGGAGGACATGCAGATGTGATTGCACATACATACGCAAACACAACAGCTGTAACAGCTCTTACATAAACCTCTAACCAAGCGTCACCCTCCTCCGTGGACAGTTTGTCTTCATCAAATCACCTTTTGGGTATTTAATATCTCATTTCCAGTCTGACAAGAGACGCTTTACATTTTCTGAGTAAAAGATTAAATATTTACAGTGTTTGGCTGCACAACGTTCACATAAATGAATAAAATAATGACTGGTTTAGTGATCATCGTACGTACCTGCAGTGGACTATGACTGGACACGAGTGACCACGATAGCACTTGTTTACTTTCCTGTAAAAAAACAGAAATAGCAAAATAATTACAAACATCATCACATGATGTCAGAACGCCTGCATCTGGGCTCTTCAGGAAAGATTAATACAAATCAGCTTAAACAATTATACATTTTTATATGATTAATACAACCTAAAGGGGAGACAATTTATGATTGTTGGAATGATATTTTTGCTCTTAAACAATTTCACTCTGACCTGTACTCGATTACAAAATGTAATCTATGTATGTACGTTTAAATCTAGAGGAAAATGTAACATTTGTGCCTGCTTTAGTCATGAAACGTTTGGGAATACATTTGTAATTAAATATTTGATATTGTAATGTCCAGAAATGGTCAGTTTTCACCTACATATTGACCTATATGCCACGGGTCATCAGCAGACATACGTCCCATCCTCTAAGGTGGTTTTTACACTCTATCTTCCTAAAGCCCAGGGGCCTCATTTATCAAGCTTGCTTACGCACAAAACGGGGTCAGAAAATTGCGTGAGCAACTTTCCATGCAAAGTTTGGGATTTATGAAAGAAAACTTAGCGGAAAAATGTGCGCAACTTTTGACATTTTGACTCTATGTCCACAATGATTAATCTTATTTATCTTCCAAGAGACACTAATGCTCTCTGTACAAGAAAAGACAAAAGGCTTAAATTTAAATAAAGATCAAATGTAAGATCTGATGACCTAACCATGGATGGGACTGAGAATGAACTGAGCAGCAGCAGTTTTACAATAAATGCACAAGAGTTTTATTTATCAGCGATAAAGCAGCAACATCACAATCACCAAAGTCAGGAAGTCTTTCCAGCCCCTGAACCGAACAGTCGGAACTGGCTGAGGACAATGACAAGTGATGTTACCATGGAAACAGCCAGCAGAAGATCACCAACAGGCAGGGTGGGAGGTTGAGGGGTGGGGGTGTTAGGAGAAGGAGATACCCCGTAAGAAAGATTCAGGCTTGACGGAGAGCGAGAGATCAGATTAACAGGCGGAGAAATGAAAGACAGGAGGAGATTGTGAGGAAGGAGATGTTTCCATGTTTCTGTAAAAGTGGAAATGCAGACTGCGACCTCTGAATATGTCTATAATTAATCCCTGTTATTAAATGTTTCAGTATTTTTCTGGTGAACCAGATTTCTAACAGTAAAATATGTGTCGAGTTAAAACTTTTACATATTTGCTTTTGACCATCCAAGCGTCCGAATGCAAAATGCCTTACTGCAAAATACCCGAGTGCAAAAGACCCGAGTGCAAAATGCCTTATTTCTAAACGCCTGACTGCAAAACACTTGAGTGCAAAACACCTGAGTGTAAAATGCCTGAAAGCAAAACACTCCACTGCAAAACACTCCACTGCAAAACGCCCGAGTGCAAAATGCCTGAGTTCTAAACGCCTGACTGCAAAACACCCGAGTGCAAAACACCCGAGTGCAAAACACCCGAGTGCAAAACACCCGAGTGCAAAACACCCGAGTGTAAAATGCCTGAAAGCAAAACACTCCACTGCAAAACACTCCACTGCAAAAGACCCGAGTGCAAAATGCCTGAGTTCTAAACGCCTGACTGCAAAACACTTGAGTGCAAAACACCTGAGTGTAAAATGCCTGAAAGCAAAACACTCCACTGCAAAACACTCCACTGCAAAACGCCCGAGTGCAAAATGCCTGAGTTCTAAATGCCTGACTGCAAAACAGCTGAGTGCAAAACGCCCGAGTGCAAAATGCCGATCATTAAGCAGAAATACTCAGAAAAAGCCAGAAGAAAAAAGAGCAAAAGCAACATCTGTTTAAATAATTGAATGATTACTCGAGTCCGAAAGTGTCAAAAACAAGGATTTGCATGATCCTGTTCGGCTATTGTTTGCTCTGCTCAAGTGACTTTTTTTTTAAAGCAATCTCAGAAAAAGGTCAGAGGTGGCCAATTTCTTTCAGTCTCGTCTAAAAAAGATGAAATTGTGAAAAGCTTCATTTTGGTGTGAACGTGTTCTTAACTCAGCGGGTCAAAAGTCGTCAGATAAGACAGAAACCGACAGAGATGGATGGAACAGGGTGGGGGAGAGGATGACAAAAGCAACCATGGGGGGTGGGGGGTGTCAGAGGTAGTCAAGCAAACCAGGAGCGAGCAGAAAGGGAGGAGGTCATCTCAGATCACTGAGCACATGGTGGATAGAGACAGGAGGAGGAGGAGTAAAGGAGGGCAGAGGAGGAGGAGGTAAAAGGAGGAGTAAAAGGTTGGGGGGGGGGATGAGGTCCCCTGGTTGTAGAATCACAGTCTCCAATGATCACTTTTGTGACTATGCAACTGAACTCATTTTACTAGCTGCAACATCACAAAAATGACACTGGCAACCGCAAGTTAGCCGGTAAAACAAGAGGGAGAAGCTGAGAGAGGATTTAAGCAGCGCTGCTCGGTCAGTCCAGAGTGAGTAAAGCAGGCTGGCACGAGCATAAAACATGGAGGTAGACTTCAGCCGCCATCCTCATCACATCCAGGTAAAAATAAAACAAACCAGAACAGAACAACAAAAGACAGGCCGGGCTTTTATTGTGAAATAACCGTAGTAATAAAAGTGAAAAATCTCTCCCTGGATGCTTTCTTCATTGTGTTGTGACCCGGCCGCCCTGTGAGTAAAAGCAATATTTCTAAACTGATGGTGTATGGCGACAGCCAGCAGAGCCTTTTTCTCTAAAAACACCTCACACCTGACAGATGTGCAGGAGTACGGTGGCGACACCAGGTCTGTATCAAGACCTGAGCTGGGGTCGACCGCTCCAAGAGGGGCCCGGCGGCTCCAGCTAATAGGTAATACAGTATATCAGTGTGGAAAGGGTCAAAGGGCAAAGGAAAGCAGTACTTATGACAGCAGCAGTGATAAAGCACCGCTCAACACATCCAGAATTAAACTTGACTGGCCAGGATGTTTGAGGATGTCGAGTTTTTCTCCTCAGGGTCAAAAAAGCTACCGAAGGAGCTGTTTTCATACCTGATTTCTCCATTATTGATCGTTTACGTTCTGTCAAATTTATAATCAGATTCAAAATCTGTGATAAAGATAAAAGAAACGGGGTTCCTGGAGTTAAAGTTAGTAAAAGACAAAAGTTTCAGTTTTAGTGATGCAGATCAAAGTGAAGCGTCTGTCGGGTAAAACTCTTCAGTCAGAGCATAAATGTGTTGATCTGGTTTATTATGGCCTTTTAAGAGCTCCTGAGGGCTTGGTGCTGGAGTGGGTGTGTGTGTGTGTGTGTGTGTGTGTGTGTGTGTGTGGGGGGGGGGGGGTAGTTTAAATGCTTTTTGACTGATTTCTATTGATTTTCTAATTAATTAAGAATGAAACACAATATATGGGACTAACCAGCATCTGCACATGTCAAATTAAGAACGATCATGTAGATCGTAGAACACTTTGATATTTGGGTTTCCTCAGATGCACAAACAAACCAACAAATCCAGACAAGCCTGGTCAAAATTTAGCAAATATCCAGAGGAAAGTTGTTCTGGAAATCCTGTTTAAAGAGCAAGTCACCCCAAATCAACTTTTTTTCTGATAAACTAAATAAATGCGTGTCTAATCGTGCTGCAGACACGTGTAGTCAATAGTTTAGCACTTTACTGCATTTTAGTTAAAATTTAAATTTTCTGCCTAAAACTGTCAGTGTCGTGTCGTTGTCAGGTAAAAACTCTGCACTGCATTTGAATTTAAATCTGCTATCGCTATTGGCTAAGAGGTACCTTAGAACGTTAGCTGGTACCATAGGATGTTACAATGTCGTTGTGAGCCTGTGTGTGTGTGTATTTGTTAGCGGCTCCACCCTCTCGGTCTGCTAGGCAACAGCATTTGTTGCATTTTTCAAACAGGAAGTGGAAGTAGAGTAATACTTTGATAAGGGATGACTTGCTCTTTAAAGAGCAAGTCACTCCAAATCAACATTTTTTTGCTGATAAACTATATAAATGGGTGTCTGATTGTGCTGTAGACAAATGTCGTAAATAATTTGGCACTTTAGTGCATCTTAGTTAAAATGTAAGTATTCTGCCTAAAACTGTCAGTGTTGCGCCGTCGTCAGGTAAAAACTCAGCACCGCATTTGAATTTAAATCTGCCATCGCTATTGGCTAAGAGGTACACTATGATGTTAGATGGTAGATTATGATGTCACTTTGTCGTAAGTGTGTGTATTTGTTAGCGGCTCTGCCCTCTCGTTCTGCTAGGCAACAGCATTTGTTGCACTTTTGTAAACAGGAAGTGGGAGTTCAGTAAGAATCTGGTAGGGGTAACTTGCTCTTTAATGTAAAGGAAAAATGTTCATTGTGTCTCTTTTGCAGGTGCAACTAAAGAATGCAAATAACTTTCATGGCTTTGGGCCCGAGGCCTTTTGCTGCTACACCTGTTTGTCCCCCAATTAGGGGACGCTCGGGCTCAAATGGTTATTAAATCTTGAATTCTATGAATGGCCCTAGATTTCTTGTTTATGCCCCAAAAATGTCAAAGAAAAACCGTCAGAAAATCTGTAAAAGAGATTATTTCAAAATTCAGAGACAGAAGGACACGATGCGTGAAAAGAGGACATCTGTTGTGCTTTTTGTTTTGCACCATAGCTGCTTTTATGGGGTTTATTTCAAATCCTTTTGATTGTTAAAGCAAAGTGAACAAATAACCAGTTAAAAGGTTATTTTCTTAGCTAATATGGAACTAAATGGTTTCTGTTATGTGGCTTTAAACGTTTCTGTGAAGCTTCTCGTCTGAAAATGTTGCAGCAGTGGGCATGACAGTCAGGTTTAGAGAGCTTTAGGTAAACATCGAGAACTTTCTTTACCTGCGGAAGTCGAGGAGCGTCCGGCTGGTCTCCGGGACGCTCTGGTTGAGCCAGGTCAGGAAGTGGAACTGAGTCACGGTCCGGGTCTCATTGGTCTGCATGTTCTTCAGGTAGAAGCTACGAACCAGGAAGTCGTCACACCAGATGTGTTCAGACACCAGGTTCACCTGTCAGCAGAGATCAAGCAAGTTGCTAAGCCTGGTGGTCCACTTCTAATCCAGTCCTACACACCACCTGCTGTTAGGACACTTTCAGGTCTGTTGGATATTTTTCCATATTAAAATGTCCTCCAGGAATATAAATATAATATCTATAAACTGACACTTGGAAACCCTTATCAGGATCAAACGTGCTGAAGTTAGTTTGAATCCAAAAGCATTGATTTAAACTTCTCTAGGTGGTTAAGTCATTTTGTGTGTAGGTCTGGTTCCTGTTTACCTCGTAGATGTGGTACAGGTTGGATCCTTCATCCGGCCAGTAATGGTAGCACTGCTTCACCCCGCTCTCGACGAGAGGCGTCAGCATAACGATGACCACGCAGCCATTCTCCCACACCATCTGGAAGCACAGCGCAGCTTCACAACTATTTTATGATAAAGCTGAAGCCTCTCAACACAGCAGATGATTCATGCGGCCCGACGTTCTTCGGGAAAAACTGAAACTTTTGCTGAAATGTTCAGCATTTAGCCGGGTCTCCAGAGAAGGAGTCATATCCTCGGAGTGTCAGAGGGCCTGATGAGGAATGCAATCTCATGTGATGCTGTCAACGCCTTCTGAAACCTGCCAAGAGAGCCCTGATGTGTGTCTTCACTCACCCACTCACTCACTCGGGTATTAGTTCGTAACTAGCTTCATTTTCCTGTGAGCTATCATTGTGGAAGGAGCAGGAGGAGAGTGGAGGTGAGACCTGCTCGCGCTCCTAAACCTTGGTGAGACACGACGAGGAAGTCAGGCATCATGAACAGTAATTAGTGTTGCCGTAAAGGCGGCGCTCCTCCTCGTCTGGGTCGCTCTGCAGCCACAGCTGGCGCTTGCTCGTGTTTTTCCTGATGACAGTTGGAACCTCACAGCTGGGCCGGCCCGGTCCGGCTCAGGAGACCCATTGGGCTCTGATCAGAGGCATTAACGAGGGCCATAAAACAACATCGCGCTCACATCACTGGGTTGGATCATCAGAATGGCTGGAGCACCACCACAGCCTGACGGAGATTTAGCTGATGTTAATTGTGGTGAGTGTTGAGTTACTGCCCCTCTCTGCCTCCCCCTCTCCCTCAGCTCCCTGCCGCTCTACTGATTAGTCTCATGGATCTAAAACCGTGACGTGCACTTTTTTGAGGAATGGTGTTAATTTGCTTCGGCTGACAGGGTGAGAACTCTCCTGGAGCCGGCTGGACGAGTTCCCTTTATTAAAACCAAAATACTCACTTTACTCAAACTCGTTTTGCTTCTCTGTAAAAGTTGAGTGCACATCTTGTTCGTTTCAGGAAGGAGGAGGTCTGTCGGCAAGACCCACTAAATCAGCTGGACTACAGTGCCACAGGATGCTGGATTAGAGCAGGTGTTGCACCGAATTCTGCGACCCATCACATTTTGTGACCCCAGGGGGCAGTGTTGCGTTTTGTTGCATCTGTACATCCTGAATTGGCATAAAAGAAGAAGATGCTACGTTAAAACCGTAAACTACGTAAGCTTTGAGGAAGTTCTGCGGCGCGGACCATGGTCACACAATATGATAGTGGCTATCACAGAATGTGGCCATCTGCATCTCAGTAATATTGCAGATGTCAGAGGTCAAATGCACTTTTTTATAAACTGCATCATCAGAGAAATTACCAGAAACAGTTTGTGTGATGTAAAAATCATAATAACTGAAGTTACAGTAAGGTCACACAATATGATAGTGGCTATCACAGAATGTGGCCATCTGTATCTCAGTAATAATGCAGATGTCTTTAATTTTCACTAAAGATAATAACAACAAAAGGCGTTTCATGATGTTTGTGTCATTTTATTTCCCTTTTATCTCCACCAGTACATATGAGTGGCAGTGGAGTGACAGGAAAAAAACCGTAGCAACCAGATAATCTGCAGTGGTTTCTAATAAACTGAGGATGTGGATCACAACAATTCATTTCAATAAATGGAAGTTCAGAAAATTTTACCTGCAGGCCTTGCATGTTGTAAAATCAATGTTTAACTTTAGCAAACATTTCTTGTCAAAGCCCTGGTTATCGCTGCATTTATTGTCCCGTTTGTTTGCAATAAACATTAACAAACGTTCTTTTTAATATCCATGGTCCGCGCCGCAGAACTTCCTCAAAGCTTACGTAGTTTACGGTTTTAACGTAGCATCTTCTTCTTTTATGTCAATTCAGGATGTACAGACGCAACAAAACGCAACACTGCCCCCTGGGGTCACAAAATGTGATGGGTCGCAGAATAAGGTATAACACCTGTTAAGCAAACAGATGGATCTGCAGGCTGCAGCACACTTAGAGGGCTTTCTTTACCTAATCCTAACCCTAACTCATCTGGAATATTCTTAACCCATCCTGCAAGTAAATAGTTTTTAAAGTTTTTTCTATTTTTATTTTTATTTTCTAGCCTTTCACATGCAGCCTGCAGCTCCAGGGCCACATGAGATGGTTGCTCTTAAAGGTGCAGTTCACTCCTTTAATCAATACGTTTGCATCAGTCTCTGGTACGGATGGATACCTTACAAGCTGTACTCAGGGCAAAATTGCCTAGAAACACTTGGATACGCACCAACATGTCTGCTGCAGAGACGGCACGGCAGGATTTGGAGTCTTTTTTTCCAGTTTTTCAGTGACCCACACCTGCAATGAACTCCTGAACCAAGAATTTGAAACACGGCCTTCTACAAAAGCATGGTAAGTTATTCTGAAAAGAGATCTAGGAAATAGAAAAATAAGTATTTGGTTGCTCTGACGAAGGCGGCAGTGAACAAACCCTCATCACTCTGTGTTTAATGAAGAAAAAAAGGTAAATCAGGATGATTTGACCCACTAGGATAATGTTATTTTTATTTTATGATAAAATACAGGTCCTTCTCAGAAAATTAGCATATTGTGATGAAGTTCATTATTTTCTGTGATGCACTGATAAACATTAGACTTTCATATATATTAGAATAATTACACACAACTGAAGTAGTTCAAGCCTTTTATTGTTTCTAATATCGATGATTTTGGCATACAGCTCATGAAAACCCAAAATTCCTATCTAAAAAAATTAGCATATCATGAAAAGGTTCTCTAAACGAGCAACTAATCTAATCATCTCAATCAACTAATTAACTCTAAACACCTGAAAAAGATTCCTGAGGCTTTTAAAAACTCCCACCTTGGTTCATTACTCAAAACCGCAATCATGGGTAAGACTGCCGACCTGACTGCTGTCCAGAAGGCCAGTATTGACACCCTCAAGCAAGAAGGTAAGACACAGAAAGAAATTTCTGAACGAATAGGCTGTTCCCAGAGTGCTGTATCAAGGCACCTCAGTGGGAAGTCTGTGGGAAGGAAAAAGCGTGGAAGAAAATGCTGCACAACGAGAAGAGGTGACCGGATCCTGAGGAAGATAGTGGAGAAGGACCGATTCCAGACCTTGGAGGACCTGCGGAAGCAGTGGATTGAGTCTGAAGTAGAAACATCCAGAGCCACCGTGTACAGGCGTGTGCAGGAAATGGGCTACAGGTGCTGCATTTCCCAGGTCAAGCCACTTTTGAACCAGAAACAGCGGCAGAAGCGCCTGACCTGGGCTACAGAGAAGCAGCACTGGACTGTTGCTCAGTGGTCCAAAGTACTTTTTTTGGACGAAAGCAAATTTTGCACGTCATTCAGAAATCAAGGTGCCAGAGTCTGGAGGAAGACCGGGCAGAGGGAAATGCCAAATGCCTGAAGTCCAGTGTCAAGTACCCACAGTCAGTGATGGTCTGGGGTGCCATGTCAGCTGCTGGTGTTGGTCCACTGTTTTTTATGTTTATGTTTATGTATTTAGCAGGCGCTTTTGTCCAAAGCGACTTACAAGTGATAATTGGCATGTTGCCCTTGAGGCTAACGACAACAATAACAACAACTTGACATCAACCATGGAGAGGGAAAAAGGAGTGGACGGTAGAGAGGGGGGACGGGTGCAGGGAAGGTGCTAGTTAAGAAGATGCTCTCTGAAGAGCAGTCTCTTCAGGAGTTTCTTGAAAATTGAAAAGGAAGCCGCTGTTCTGGTAGTGCTTGGTAGGTCATTCCACATTTGTGTAACAATGCATGGGAAGAGTCTGGATTGTCCTGGGCGTGGCGTAGGCACTGCTAGCCGACGATCCTGTGATGACCGGAGCGGCCAGGCCGAGACGTAAGCCTTTGCAAGTGTATTCAGGTAGATAGGAGCCGTACTGTCTCGGACTTTGTATGCTAGTGTTAGCAATTTGAATTTGATGCATGCTGCTAGCGGTAGCCAGTGGAGCTCAATGAACAGAGGGGTAACGTGTGCTCTTTGTGGCTGACTGAAGACCAGACGCGCCGCTGCGTTCTGGACCATTTGAAGAGGTCTCACAGTACAGGCTGGAAGACCAGTTAGAAGGGCATTGCAGTAATCGAGGTGGGAGATGACAGTAGATTGCACCAGGAGCTTGGTGGCATGTTGTGTTAGGCATGGTCTGATCTTTCGTATGTTATACAGCGCAAAGCGGCATGAACGAGCAACAGATCTTAAAGGTCAGGTGTTCATCTATCACAACACCCAGATTTTGAACTACCATTGAAGGAGCCAGAGATAGGAAGTCAATCTGGATTGAGATATTGTGCTGTATGGATGGTTTTGCTGGGATCACAAGTAGATCAGTTTTAGAGAGGTTGAGTTGGAGATGGTGGGATTTCATCCATTTTGACATGTCAGAGAGACAGTTTGATATTCGTGCAGAGACAGTGTGGTCATCCGGTGGAAAGGACAGATAGAGCTGGGTGTCGTCTGCATAGCAGTAGTAGGAAAAGTCCTGTGATCTAATTATCTCACCCAGTGAGGTGGTGTATATGGTAATGAGAAGAGGTCCTAGTACAGAGCCCTGGGGGACTCCTGTGGCAAGATGGTGCACGGTAGAGTATTGTCCAAGCCAAGATACACTGAATGATCATCCTGTGAGGTACGATTCAAACCAGGCATGTGCTTTGTCTGTGATGCCCATGCTAGAGAGTGTGGACAAAAGGAAGCCATGGTTGACAGTGTCAAATGCAGCCAATAAGTCGAGCAGGATAAGCACTGAGGATCTTGGCACTAGCTTCTTTTAAGGATTCCGTCACTGCTAACAGCAGTTTCAGTGGAGTGGCCCTTTTTGAACCAAGATTGGTAAGGGTCAAGCAGACAGTGTTTTATCAAGGGCAGGGTCAATGCAGCTAGCTATCAGGAGATTTTTGAGCACTTCATGCTTCCATCTGATGAAAAGCTTTATGGAGATGAAGATTTCATTTTTCAGCATGACCTGGCACCTGCTCACAGTGCCAAAACCACTGGTAAATGGTTTACTGACCATGGTATTACTGTGCTCAATTGGCCTGCCAACTCTCCTGACCTGAACCCCATAGAGAATCTGTGGGATATTGTGAAGAGAAAGTTGAGAGACGCAAGACCCAACACTCTGGATGAGCTTAAGGCCGCTATCGAAGCATCTGGGCCTCCTTAACACCTCAGCAGTTCCACAGGCTGATTGCCTCCATACCACGCCGCATTGAAGCAGTAATTTCTGCAAAAGGATTCCCGACCAAGTATTGAGTGCATAACTGACCATAATTATTTGAAGGTTGACTTTTTTTGTATTAAAAACACTTTTCTTTTATTGGTCGGATGAAATATATTATTTTTTTTAGATAGGAATTTTGGGCTTTCATGAGCTGTATGCCAAAATCATCAATATTAGAAACAATAAAAGGCTTGAACTACTTCAGTTGTGTGTAATTATTCTAATATATATAAAAGTCTAATGTTTATCAGTACATTACAGACAATAATGAAATTTATCACAATATGATAATTTTTGGAGAAGGACCTGTATAAATTGGATAACCAAAACAGTAGATACCCCAATTTCCTATTTTGGCTGATGTCTATCATAATTTTTAATAATCATCCTTTTCTAAGCTTTTATTTAATTAAACCAAATGTTACATTGACTTTATTCTACTTTATTTGTTCATCTGAAACCTATTTAGTGAATGTTACTGACTCTACATTAATGCCTGATTTGTTTCTGTCTCTGCACGGCGATCCCGGTTCCTCACACCACCAGGATTTTACAAAGACGGATCTTGTTGGACAAAGGGACCTTTCCCTCTGACACAGACCTCCCACCTCTTCACACACCAGACCCAAGAACTGGCTAAAATAATGTATCGATCTCCCACTTTCTAATTCAAACCCAATCCAACATTTGAGACAGCGGGAAAAGTGTTTGCTGCCTCCTGCATTAACAGTGTGTCCTGCGGTCAACGGCGTGTGTGTGTGTGTGTGTGTGTGTGTGTGTGTGTGTGTGTGTGTGTGTGTGTGTGTGTGTGTGTGTGTGTGTGTGTGTGTGTGTGTGTATGTGTGTGTGTAGGAGGGGAGCATTATGGGGAAGGAGAGATTAATAATGACATCCACAGAACAAGCTGCTCTCCTGTGTGGCTTGCTGCACTAATAAAAATCGGCTAACTCTTATTTAAGAGAGGGGACTGTATTGATTTTCCTTTCATGAGTGTGTGTGTGTGTGTGTGTGTGTCTTTACCTGCCAGAAGTCAGCCACGGTGGAGGGCAGTGGACCCTGAGTGGCGATGTATGCCGGGTTTCTGGGATCGCGGTCTATCTGGAGGGAGAAGAACATCTTTAAACATCTTTGTTGCTTTCTGGTCTTTTTGTCTAAAGATGAAAACAAATATTTCCCCTTGAAGAAATGCCCGTCCAGTTTTGTCTTAAATTTTTCTAGATCAGGCTATTGGCTTCAAGTGATCTGATTGACAGAAAAAAGCAAATAAAATGGTCACAGGGAGGTAGTACAGTACAAACTAGATTATAATCCAGCAAATCTAGTCCAGAGTGGCACCATTTCTACAGTGTTGATTGAAATGTTACCTTTCCTTTGATGTGGTTTTAATGTTACTTTGATTTTATAATTGATCTTATCTCATTGCTGTTTGCTGTTACTTGCTGCTAAATAAAGTTGTTAAAATCTTTCTAGTTATTGTTTTCCTTGTATTGACTCATCAGGATTAGTACCTTCATCACAAAACTACTAGATCCAGTCTGCTGTCCCCTGGTGGAGGATCTACAGCTGGTGAGGGACAGCTTTGGTTCTGCTTTATTGTCACATTTCTATTCAGGAATCACCTGAAATCAGCAGTCTGCTGCACCCCAAGGCAGCTGTGGCTACATTGTAGCTCATCATCATCATCAGTGCGTCAATGAATTTGTAAAGCACCTTGGGGGGTTGTAGAACCCTAAGAAATGGTAAATGGCCTGTATTTGATATAGCGCCTTCTAGAGTCTTGGAAACCCCCAAGACACTTTACAACACAACCAGTCATTCACCCATTCACACACACATTCACACACTGGTGGGGATGAGCTACGATGTAGCCGCAACTGCCCTGGGGCACACTGACAGAGGCGAGGCTGCCGAGCACTGGCGCCACCAGTCCCTCCGACCACCACCAGCAGGCAAGGTGGGTTAAGTGTCATGCCCAAGGACACAGCGACAGACTAAGCAAGGCTCGAACCTGCAACCTTCCGATTACGGGGCGAGCACTTAACTCCTCTGCCACCGTCGCCCATAAGAAACCCTATACAGAGACCATTTATCGTTACATGTCACTGATTAATTGACCCAAAAGCCAATAACTCTAAACATAAAATGATGCTGATTTAGAACGATGACCTGAAAGGTGAGGGGTGCTGTGGGTTCCAGGTGGGTCCATCACAGCTAGAGCCAGTTCACTCTCCCTAATTCACCCAACAGGCGTGTTTCTGCTCTGTGGGTCCCAGCAGAGGATCACCTGATCAGGATCAAACCTGTGTGCTAACCGGCTGCCCCACTATGCAACATTAATGGTTCTAGAGGAGCTCACTGGGGTTCATACCAAAAAACGTAAATACAATCTAAAGTAGCACAGATTTTTACCAAATATTCTTTATATAAACTTTTTTTCCCCAAATTTTGGTCACACATAAACCGCTTTGCCACTCAGCATGACAGAATCTCTTTTGTGGATTTATCACACCTTGTCAGCATGTTTCTCCCTTTCCGACATTCCCACCTGGGAGCTTTGCGCAGACGGAGGTCAGAGGCTGAGTAGTAACTCGGAGTTCTTCTCCAACTTAATGAACAACTACAGAACGACGGCGGAGGCGTCAAGAGCAGAAGACAGGAGACGAACGCCAACAGAATTTGTGACTACATGAGTGACACTCCTGCTTATTAACATGCAAATTGTACGGTAAATGTAATAATTGGTGGGACCAATTTAGCTGAAGGCAATTACAGAAGGAAGACTGATAATTTCTTGGGCTTTTCCGCTCACCGAATCGTCTTTAATGGCCCTCTGTTGCTTTTGTGAATGCAAATAAAACAATAATGCACTACTAATGAAGATAAAGGGTAACACAGAGGAGGAAATAAGGCTACGGACTCTATCAGGGACTTCTGCTCATTAAAACAACAACAAAAGGCTAGAAGCAGAAGCTCAAAAGCTGCATAATAAAAATATTTAGTTTCATTTTTATGAGTCGTTTTCAGTAAAAGTAAATGCTAATAAGTCAATCGTGATTTAGTCATAAAAACATCCACGACAACAAATGACTGGTTAACATATGTTTTATCCCATTAAAGTCTTTCCTCTGCAGTCACTTTCCATAACACTAACAAGTCAGATAGGATCAGAGAGAACCAGCTTCAACAGACGTGGAGAACTTTGATTTGATCAATCAGAATAAAAACATCAGCAGGAATCTGGTTTCTTTCTTCTGTGGAGGAACAAAAAGTCCTGACGTCTCCAGAATGAAACCCTGACATTAATCAGGACAACCGTGGCTCTTCCTGTCAAAGAGGAAAAGTGTGGGATGTAACGAGTAATTATTGATGTGCTTAGGATTTTTGTCTTTGGGAGACTGAAGGAGTCCAAATCAGTCAAAGTACAAAAATAAGAGAGAGAGAGAGAGAGAGAGAGAGAGAGAGAGAGAGAGAGAGAGAGAGAGAGAGAGAGAGACAGGGAAAGAGAGAGAGCGAGAGAGAGGGAGAGGGAGAGAGAGGGAGAGGGAGAAGGAGAGAGAGAGAAAGAGAGAGACACAAAGAGACAGCGAGAGAGAGGGAGACGGAGAGATGGACAGAGAGAGACAGAGACACACACACATGGGGAGAGAGAAAGAGAGTGTTAGAGACAGAGAGCTAGTTTTTAGTAATTTAGGGAAATTAAACAACTTTTGCTGCTGGAAGTTAGACTTGATTTAAAGCCAGTTCTGTTTAAATTTATTTTTACATGTTTGGGTTCATTTTTATTTATTTGTCAGATTCTTTTATCCAAAGAGATTTAATAAACCCAACGTCCAATTTTGGTCTGTGGGAGGAAACCGGAACACCTCGAGAGAACCCACAAATGCACGGGAAACACGCTGACTCCACACAGAAAGTCTGCAACTGGGATTTGAACCTGCAACCTTCTTGCTACCAACAGTGCTACCATGTAGCCCATATTATTCTAAAACATGTCCTGAATTTACCGCCATAAAACTGTGTTTTCCACATTAACATCTTCTGAACTTCAGCTAAGCAAGGACCACATCGCCCCTGGTATTTCTAACTATGAAGGGTTGTTAGTGCCACTCAAGTAGAAACATTTCCCAGAATGAAAACATAAAACTAAGTAATTTCCAGAGTACTTCAAAACTAAAGTTGCTATTTTGAGCAACAAATAGGCTGTTGAGGGAAGTTACCTGGTGTAGGTGTGACGTGTGTGTGTGTGTGTGTGTGTTCATGTGTGTGTGTGTCTGCAGCTAATAAAATCTGGTATTTTTTACACTTCTAACAGGAACGTTTTCCTAAATGATCGCTGGTTCGATTGTAACGTTTTTGTTTTTCTATGATTACAGTTTCCCTCCCGATGAGAAGCGATTCCTCCTCTGAACTTCATAAAATCATTTTAAAACTAAGGCCTTGTCCACACGTAGCCGGGGATCTGCCAAAATGTAGATATTTTTCTACGTTTTGGCCTGTCATCCACACGAAAATGGAGTTTTTTCACACGAAAACGGATCTTTTTAAAAACTCCGGCCAAAGTGAAGAACTGTGTTTACTCCGTTTTGGGTGTCTGCGTGTGGATGGACAAAAACGGAGTTTTAAGGTCCGCAACGTCACTTTCCACGACAATAAATGCTGACATCACGTGTGCGACCTGTGTTTACACTAGCCGGCATCATGGAAGCCCTCAGAGCTGCGCTCTGTCACTACCCGATCCATCAGTTGTCCAAGCGCTTTCTGCTTGTTTGTTTTTGCAAGCGGAATTACTGCTCCTTGCGGAAGACCACAGACGAAGGACGAGGTTAAGAACGGAGGAAGTACTGCCGCCTACAGGTCTGGCATGTCCTTAACAACGTATTTATCCGAGTATGTGTGGACAGAGTTTTTTTTTAAACTAGGTGGTGTGGATGCAAGTTTTTGGAGGGGCGGATATTCGTTTAAAAAAAAACCCGGCTACGTGTGGACTAGGCCTAAATCTGAGCCCTTTAACTTCTGCACTCCCCAAAGCCTTTGTCCGATTTTCTGGTTTCTTTTTTTACATGACAGTCTGATGCGGTTCTCGGGGTCTGGCTGCTTCTTTCACCACCTCCCAAAGGGTGACTGATCTAAGATCTGGCAACTCTGGAAGCAGTTGCCACATCAACTGAGGCAGATTATAGTTTGGTGCATCGTCTACTGAAAGAACTTAAGAAAAGATGTTCACTCTGGTCATAAAGGGATTGATTTGATCCTTGGAAAATACAGGAGTTTGTTGCTCTAAAGGTCCTGTTGACAGTCTGCACCATCTTGATTCATCCATCCCAGACTCAGCTTCATGTTGGTAGCTTATTTACTTTTACTCCTACTGAATGCATTTTATATTTCCTTCAATCCTGGCTTGCAATGATTGATTATTTGAATTACTGTGTCGTCCTATCATCCTGAACCAGTCTGGAGTCTCTTATCTCGTCTTTAATGCCAACAGCAAAACATTTTCCTTTGGAGCTCTGCTGCAGCAGCTCACTGCTTCCTTTAGGTCCTGTCACTGAAACTTGAGAGTCCTACAGCTTAAAAGTTCCCACTCAATAAAAAATGTATCACACCTTAAGCCGTTCTCACCACTTCTGTATTTACAGCCATATGCAACGTCTCTTGTTCACGTTTTAGGTGAACGAGTTTCTTCGATTCACGCTTTAAGTCTTAATTTGCAGCTTAAAGCAGAAAAGTTTGAAACTTTAAAATGAAAACAATGAAAAACTAAATTAATTTAAAAGCAACATTAAAACTGAAGGGCCTTATTATTGAGGGCTGCTTTTTTCTTGGAATCAGTTTAAAAATCTTTTTTAAATAATTTATAATAAATAGATTTTCTCTATTCCATTATTTTGAAATGAACAGGGCCGGTCATTAACTCTCAGATGTTAAATAAACCTCCGGTTTGTGTTTTATCAGAAGTGTCATTTATGAAGTGTGAGTGTGTCAGTAGAATATTTAACTATATTAACTCAGACAGTCAATGTTTGTAAGAAGATCCCAAACATCTCGTCGTTTCTGTTGAAACGTGGGTGAACCAACTTGGAGGGAAATCTTTAAATAACCTCAGCAAACATCCCCTCCATTCACCCTGTATTAATAGTGAGTGTGTGGGAGGTGGGAACGTACGCTTGACAGTGATCGTGTGTTCACGTCTCAGTGTGTTCTTGTCTGCGTGGGTGTGTGCACCCATGTCATCAGTGTGTGTGTGTGTGTTTCTGAGTGTTGTTCACCATAAAGGTGTGTGTGCTGAATTTGCATTAGCGTTTGAGTATTTGTGACATTTTATAGAGTTGCTCTCCTTTTTCTGTATTTCTTATTTTTGCCCACACACACACACACACACACACACACACACACACACACACACACATACACACACACACACACACACACACACACACACACACACACACACACACACACACACACACACACACACACACACACACACACACACTTTCAACCATGTTTGGTGTGATGGCCAGATTTGAAATGCATTGCGTTTCTGTTGCTATTAATGGAACACCAGTGTATCCGCCTCAAGGGGAATATACACCTACGATTTCAACGCTGGTTTCCAAATTGATTCACTCACTTACTGAATTCACACGACTCTTTCTTCCACCTTTTGGCTCCTGCAGGCTCTTTGAATCTGCACCGTGCCAGGAGGTAGCGCCAGCACGCCAGCGGCAGCGTAACAGTACACACAAAGTAGCGCTGGATTAGCATACCCCAAGGTCAGAAACAATTATTTCCTGAGACCCTACAGATCAATTCTGGTTTCACCAATGAAAAGCAAGTCATGTGCGTGTCCTTTCTCAAACCTTCCCAAGCGAATTTCCTCGCCAGGGGTGGTTGCTGTATCGCCATTATTAATATTCATGCTGAAAAACGTACACACACCGCGGGGCTGCCACCAAGGCAAAGCAAGCGTTGCATCAAAATTTATATTGGTGGACGGTAGGCTGCCTTTGTTTCTGTGCAGGCCCGTGGGGACGGATGGAGTCAGGCGGAGCAGCGGTGTGAAACGCACAGTTAGGAAGCAGAGGAAGTACTCACTATTGGGCTGGCGTTGATGTAATCAGAGTTGCCTTGGCTGTTCTCCACCTTCAAGGTGATTCTGGCGTGATCATCTGGAACGAAAAATTAACAATTCAGCACTTTTTTGCTTGATAAAGTAACTTTCTACAGGCTGCATCCAGCGAATACCAATTAGGACTCCTGATCTTGTAAATTTGCTTTAATGATAGAGATTTCTTCTGGGTTATCAACACAGTTTATACCTCACAACACAAAAGTATACTTTGTCCCAAAAGTTTGGTGACACGGGTTCTACAAACACACGTGTTTCCGAATTAATCAGCTCTGCACCATTTTATTAAATTGTTTCTGTTTTATTCTTGTTAGAAGTAAACCGTTTTTTCTCCTCCAACTGAAGCTAGAGTTGCTTCTAATAAGCAGCCCAATTTATTCCCCACAAGCCGTTTTCCTGGTGCACAATCTGGATTTCATTAAGCCCCGGCCCGGTGGAGAGAGTGGGACAGCACTTTTTTAGACGGGCTATTTCCACACAAGCGTAGAAATTTTAATCATTGATGAGGTCTGTGCGGGAGAGCTTTAATAGAAAACTAATTTACAACCCTTCTGCTCAACGCATCTGCTCTCAGTTTCTGAAAATAGGCTCAGAATGAAGGGGCGGAGCTGTTAGGAGGTGCTGAGGAGAACGTCATCATGTCTGGAGGACGAAGGAGCTACTGGTGTTTGATTTAGACTGATACAAATATTTGGAACAGCCTCAGTTCAGAAATATAGCCCACCTCCTCCAGGACCGATGAGCTAACAGCTAACACATAGAAACCAACTTTGGCAAGGTTCTTTTTCATACTTTTCCTACACTTAAAAACATTTACACTATTGTTCTTTTGTTTAAAAACTAAATACTGGTGTGCTGCACCTGTACCCAACTACAAAATTAAACTACTGAAGGTTTTTAAAGCAATAATCCACCTGGAGAGCTGTTTGGGGATGGATCAGCTGACCAGGCCTGAAGGATGTCCACTCTGTTTCTCTGAACCCAGGACGTATACTACAGCTGCAACAACTAAACCACACCACCAGGGTGAATGGCTGATTGTGTTGTAATGCGCCTTGGGGGGTGGGGTGGGGGTGGGGGGGCTTCCAGGACTCTAGAAGGCGCTATATAAATACAGACCATTTAAATTTAACTTTATTACAGAAACATCTCAAATATGAACATAAAGGTCCCTACACAAGAAAAGTGTTGTACCCTCAGCAGCATCTGCTCTGAAATAAGTCAGGTTGGCTTTTATTTGGTATTATATGGTTTGTTTTATGAGCCGAGTCAAAAGGGACATTTCTGTGACCCCCTTTGGAGCACAGACAATAAAGTTTTATCTGTCTGTCTATTTATCTGTCTGTCTGTCTCTGTCTTTAGAAATCCTCAGGACGAGTTAATGATTCAGTTCATGACATTATTTTGTGTAGAAGTAATCATCATCAGCATAAAACGACATTTTTAACACCCAGAAACATCTCATGAACTGGGTGTAGAAACCAGTGTTAGCCCGTTATGTTTGCTTCTAACTAAATGATTCTTATCAGGAGAAAATCTCCTGTTATGGTCGAGAGAACATTAATGATCATGAAATGAGACGTTGAAAATCAAGACCAGGAGCAATAAATGGTGTTGCTTCAGCAGACACGCCGTGGTTGACATCCCAGCTGTAGTTTGATCTGTTTCCTGTCGTCTCCATCCAGAACCAGAACTCACATGCCACCACAGCTGCTGAGCGATTCTTCTTGGTGTTGCCATTTTTCAGGCCAACGGTGCTGGCGTTGGGTTCAGCCTGGTAGGCACACAGCGCCTCCCACTCCTTCTCCAGACGGTCCTTATTCTTCAGGTGGTCCTCCATGTAAGACTGGAAGAGAAGGAGGAGGAGATGCAGAACACAGGAGGTGAAGATTTTTCATGATTTTCACTCTTCTAAAGAATTCCATGTCAGTAAACCGCTGATTACTTAGAGAAAAACCATCCAAAAGCATCTCGTTTGTTTCGTTTCTAGAGATGAACGAGTGAAACAAAAGGGTTGGAGAGGTTAAACAACTCCTGCTGCTTTGGTTGTCAATTAGAGACAAAATCAGGAAGAATCCCAGATATTACAGGCTAATCCAGAGGAATTCTGGCACTCATTAGAAGAAAAGTCAATTAGATGATCCTCTGGCTCTCCAGCCTTCTAAACCGTATCAACTGCTGTCTTGTTTAATTTATTTTGAGGATCAGCTTCTCTGAAGATTTAAACAAAAGTAACACATCGTTTGAGCACGCCATTAACCCCAAATCTAAACATCATTTCTCCAGCTTCTAATCTGCTCCTCCTCTATGAAACAAGGACGCCTTCCTGTTTCCACCATTCATCCAGTTTTCATCAACAAACCAGGCAAGGTGACTTTGAACATTTGCCTCTAATTTAACTAGGCGTGAGACCACTGCTGCTCCTGTCTGAGTGGAGCCTTGTTTTCAGAGGACCTGGGAGTCAGCAGCCCATGCACACAAAATATGGACCCCAGTCTGTAATAAATGAGGGACTGGAACAAGGTGGTCTGCTTCTCTAAATGGCTCCAGGGATGATTTATGGTGACGGTTACAAATGGGAGGCTTATCTTAATCAGAATTAGCTTCCAAAAAAGCCCTAATGGCTTTCTGCTAAATTGAAAGAAGTTTGTTAGAAGAGGAGGCGGCCCGGCGAGACGACAGAGCAAAAAAAGATACAATGCTTTTATGTAACTTTAACAAACACACGATCAGGCGCAGCGATGCATTTTAATACCATCATTTCAGCAACAGCATCAATAGCTGGAAAACCACAGAGGTGTAACTCTAGCCTTTTCTCCCCACAGCACCAGCTCTCCATTATATTTGTCTCAGAGTCGCTAAAAGCAGGCATGATGTAACAGGAGGTCGGTTGGTGCAACCCATCATCTGCACAGAGCCATTTATCAGCAGCAGGAGGTCCGATCCATCAAATGATACACATAAAGCGAATGCACAGGCACACAAGTAAAGCCCAAAACCACACAGTGGATTTTAGAAGGTCATAGATGGAAAAAAAGCACCCACACAAATGGAAAACACAAAAAACACAACAAAAGATACCTGGAATAAGCTACAAACACTATAAAATGCAGAAGACGCATAAAACCAACATGCAGTGTCCAAATTGGATGCCCCCCACCGACCTCTACCCCTACCCACTCCCTTCGTCCCTAATGCCAGAGTAATAGGGTTTTGTGGCTGTGTAAAGGGATTATTGCAATCCAATCAGGAGGTGCTGAGATCACCATGCGTCGGCCAAACACTGAATAATCCCCTTACTGCTGGGCGGCGGTGGGAGGGGGCGGGCTTACAGCTGCAGAAGGTGCTCAAGAAAACCTGCAATAAGACTCAGCCCTAGCCACCCTTGTGGCTGTCGCACCCTCTGAGCACCTGTAGGAAGCACTAGCATGAAAGACAACCACATGGGAGGTGACATAATGCAGAAGCCATTTTGGATCAGTGGAGACGGAGGAGGAAAGGGGAAGTGGGCGGAGGTGGAGGAACTCTCAATGCGACGCAGCGGAGAGGAATCTCAGATGATGATCAAACACTTGACATTTGGTGTCAGTTCTTCTGCATTTGCTTTCATCAGAACATGACATCAGCTGAGGAGGTCCATCACCACCCCTCTGACTCCATCTTTTATTACGGAGGCAGCTGCTGTATTTTTAGGTAAACGCTGACATCATCCTGTTACATGAGTCCGACTCGTGTGCAGCTGATGGTTTCCTCCTCTTCAGCTGACCACATTAGAGTGATTTAACATCCATTTCCTGAAGCCCGTTTCTTCCTGCAGCCGTCTGCTGCCCTGTGACCAATCACATCCCAGCTGGCCTGATGGGGACTACGGAAAGCCAAAACAAATTCCCAGCAAGGCTAATCTCAGCGGACGCTCCCGCTGCAATGTAATCTATGACACTCAGTTGGCAAGCAACAAAAGACAAGATAATGTGCTTTATATATAGAGTCGCCTAATCCTCTTAAGACACAAGCAGAGAGGATGTAAGTGTGTGTGTGTGTGTGTGTGTGTGGTTGTGTGTGTCGGGGGGGGGGGGGTCGCACGGGAGCAACATTAGGTTCAGTAAGATGGTGAAAGCTGTTTCCCCTCAAATTAAAGCCAGTGGATGACGGACGACGAGGAGTTTGATGGAGGTTTACATGAGGCAGTTATTATTTGTGTGTGTGTGTGTGTGTGTGTGTGTGTGTGTGTGTGTGTGTGTGTGTGTGTGTGCGTGAGCATGCGTGTGTGTGTGTGCATGTACAGTATGTGTGTGTGTGTGTGTGTGTGTGTGCATGAGTGTATGTGTGTGTGTGTGTGTGTGTGTGTGTGTGCGTGAGCATGAGTGTGTGTGTGTGCATGTACAGTATGTGTGTGTGTGTGTGTGTGTGCATGAGTGTATGTGTGTGTGTGTGTGCGTGCGTACAGTATGTGTGTGTGCGCGCGTACGCGTGTGTGTAAGTGCGTGTGTGTGTGAGAGAGCATGCGCGTTCGTGTGTGTGTGTGTGTGTATGTGCGTGTGCATGCGTGTACAGTATGTGTGTGTGTGTGTGTGTGTGTGTGCGCGCGCGCACGTACGAGTGTGAGTGTGTATGTTCGCGCGTGTGTGTGTGTGTGTGTGTGTGTGAGTGCGGGGTGGGGACACTGCTCTCCAGAGGTCAGATGGTCATTTCTTTGATTTTCACCAACAGTTGATTCAAACAGAGCACAGCATCACACTTCATTTGTGACTTTTACGGTCATAAATTCCACCTCTTGTTGCAACACCCAAAAAAAATTCCCTCCTGTTGGGCTCCTCTGAATCTGTCGACAGGAGTTCGGGTTCGATGCCAGGAAATGCTCCTCTCGCCAGTCTCTGCTGTCTCCAGTTAACATCACTGTGAGAATCTGAAATGAGTTCTCTCCTACGTGTGAATATTTCAGCACAGCTGACAGTTCTGACTGCAAAAGAGAAATTCCCAAACAGGCACCGTTCCAGATCATGGACATGCGGGGGGAGGAGGGGTGGCAGACCAGCCAGAAGGGAGGAACGACTCCAGAACAAAGATGGGGCAGAAGATCAGAGGAGTAAAACACAAAAAGATGGATAAAAACTGATATACATGAAGATACAGAATAAAAGATTGATTCATTTTTTTCATTTCCTTTTGATTTTATTATGTTTAAACCTGCAGGTAAGGCATTTTACTCCCTTAGTCTTAATAAAACAGGCTCTGACTTTAACTTAGAGTAAAAACAAAAATTGGAAAAAGCTCCTCCAAATATGGGGATGACTGAATAAAAATGTATTTATTACCTCAGTATTATTCATGTTATTTTTACATAATATTATCATCTTACTTTATTTTGTAACTTCCGTTTCTCCAAATAAAGAAGAAAACTGCAGACATCTGTTTTGCTCATTGCTTACGTGTTAAATCTGATTGATTTAATAACGTTTTAACACTAAAATACATTTTCTCCAACATTAACCTCTTTAGTAGGATGTCATTATTCCTGAAGAACACAGCCTGTAACAACATCTAGACAAGGTTTCACATGAATGTGCTAGAAGATGTATTAGACTTAAGACTTTAGTGGTGAAATGATTGCTTTCTGGTGGATTCTGGCAAGCATTTGGTTGTGTTTCAAATACATTTCATTCCCTTAAACCACAGACAGCTGTCTCTTGCAGATGAGAGCCTTAAACGCTTGAAAAAACATGAGAATGGGTAATGTGTGGTAAAAATGGCACACTGGTTTTCCATATAAAGGTTAAAAAAAAGAAACCCAGAGCAGCTGGCTTAGAGGGTGAAGTTTTACTTAGGTCTCAGGGGGAAAGATCTGACCTTTAGGTGTCTAAAAAGTGCAAAAGGCAGTGAAAACGATGCAGTGGGACTTCAGAGGAACATGATTTTCACCTCTCCGGTGTAAAACCTCTGTGTGCTCTCTTGTTTCTGCTTCAGACGGTGAAAATGTTCTGGTGCCAGTCAGTGGAGCTGTCCATGGTGCTGATTTCAGATCAGGCTGTACATTAGCCACATTTCCTCTGCAGTTGCATTACAAAGAAATAATGACACATATTTAACTGCTGAGCTCACAGCTACCTTCCATTAACTCCAACATAAACCTCTGGTGAAGACGAGCAGCTGCTGGTTTAGGAACAGCCTGGACCCCCATTATCCCATTCTCTGTGTTTTACCAGTCAAATAAAAACTATGGAGTCTGTTTAATAAGCCATCAAACTATCATCCGAACAAAACATCATAATAGTGTTGCTGCAGTTTATAGGAGTCCATTTGGACTTGAACAGCTGAGCCAAATAAAAACAAAAGTACATTCACCTGTTTTTTTTCTGCTGTTTCACATTATTACTGTAAGGAAAAAATAAATCTGCATCTTTCTATAAAGGTTTATTTGCTAAACTACTTTTACTGTTGAAGTTGAAAAACCAAACAAATATAACGTCACAGGATACAGTCATTGCAGCCAATTTATTTATTCATTGTAAAATGTCAAATTTCAACTATGTCTCATTTATAAGGGAAGGGATTTTCCACCCATAAGTGAAATGTAGTGTGTGGCCATGTTCCCCAGAGTCTGATAGTATTAGTTAGTATTATGTTCGCTTTAGCTTAGCACCAACAGTGTAAGGGAATGGTAATGGTTGGCGTTTCGGCAGCTGGCGTCTGGTGGGGTAGCTGCATCATTTCCATGCTCCGTGCAGCGGCGGCTTACGGCGGTGCTTTGTCCTAACGTAGCTCCAGAACTAAACCAGCTCCTGTAGCTCCTTCATGTTACTTAATATTTTAATTAGCAGTTAATGTGATTATTAAGTTTACCAAAAAAAAGTTTGGATCATTTTTGAGCCACTCTCCTGAAATGTTCACACAAAATGCTAGCTGTTACCATTCATTTACACTGTTTATGCTAAGCTAAAGCTAACAGAAGAGAATGACTGGGCTGGTTGCAAAAGGATGCTTCCCTTATCTAACTCTGGGGGATATGGAAAGTGGGAGATCTCCTTACATTATAAAAGAGCATGTTCAGGATTTTAAAATAAAAGTTCTTCACTTAGAAATTAGAAATTCTTCTCAGTCTGGAACCAGTTCAGCTCCAGACTTTCATGCTGTTTCTTTAACTATTTTATAATTCATTATTATTTTGTTTGTTTTTCTTTTTTTTTTCATTTGGATTATGTATTAAGATAAATTGTGTATTTTTAGCAAACAAACATGTAGATTTTAGTTTTCTTTTTTTAAGGTTAAAAGGTTGATTATTTTTTTAAGGACAACTGTTTGGCACTGTGACGTAGTCGGGTGTTGCTGAAAACACTTTAAACTGAAAATTTGTGGCAAATCATTAGAATTATACTATTATTGCCTCGATGAATCAATAGTTATAGAATTCATGTAACTGTAGTGGTGTTTCTATATTTAGGTATTTTCAGGGCTTTTATCTTCTTAGAAAAGGCACCAAGCTTCACCATCCTGTGTTTAATAGTGATACACACGATTCATACATGAATTTAGATCATTTACATAAATTCCAGATGCAGATGCAGAAACATTCATAGCTGCCAAACTGAATCTTTTCAGTTCCTCGCTTTGTTTAGATATGAGTTTACATTTTTGATGGTTTTAGTAATGAACAGCCTGTGGCACCAACTGGATGCTCGACAAAACCAGCAGAAACATTTCATTTCATCCTTCTTATCTCCTAATCTGTATCACCTCTACGGAGACAGACTCATCTATCAAAAATAGAAGAAATATAACCGAGGACACTAAAATATCACTGTCACAAACTCCAACCTGTTTTCCAGCTCATGTGACCATGACACTTCAGAAACAGCCGTTGTGTTGTGGGTGAACGTTCTGAATGAAATGTCTTCGGTGTGGCTGCATAGAACAGAGAGTCTGATTGCCGCAGCGCGAGGCTGCAGAGGGAGTCATTTCAAGCGTACACAACTGTGGTGCAACTCTCAGGGGTAATTAGTATCTTTGTGCCTATTGAATACATCAAAAAGCTCATTTTATCACGTCTTGCCGGCAGCTTCATAATGCACAGAGTGAGAGGCGGGGGTGGGGATGGAGGAGTCGGGATGAAGAGGTGGTGGTGGTGGGTCGCCGAAGCGAGTAGCTAGATATCGAAAACACGATGCCACTCGACAGAATGCAACCGAGGTTCAATAGAGATTTTCATCTGAGGGATAGACAAGGATGAGGAGGCTGCTTATAGAAACTGTGGGTGTAATGAGATGTGCAGAAACACAAAGACATGGAGGAAGATGAGAGGAACAAGAGAGGTGTGTGTTTGTGCATGAGGGAAAAGATGGGCGTGTGCAGACATGAAGACGTATCAGAGATGAGGCCAAAACAGTTCTGCTGGTGCTGAGAGAGGTTCAACGGCCAGGAATGGAACACCGGAGAGAGAGATGAAGGGAGCAGAAGGGACAGGCAATCTCAGATATGATTTCATTTTAAATGTAATCAAATAAAAACTCTAATCTATCCAATGTTGGTTATTTTGTGGCAGCTTTCATTATTCTGTCTTTAAGGAGGATGGATGATAATTTGCCTTCCTTTGGTGCAGAAAGATGCTGGTTCCATTAAATTAATAGAAAAATCAAAACTCCTTCCTGGAAGCTCACCGTGTGACACTTACATAATTAATAAGAACACTGACAACTGTTACAAACAAAAAAGTCAGGACTTAGGCGCATTTTTCCAGATCAGGTGTTCATTTCCTTAGAAAACCTCAAAACCGAGTAAAAATGGACATGACAGATCTACTAATATAAATATTATTATGATTATTTACAGAAATGCTCATTTGAGATGGGAGTTACTATCAAACGACGGGGAAGATTTTAATAAACAAGGGTCGAAAAGTGTTTTTCAATAGATCCTTTTGTCTGGTCCTTTTTGGAGTCCTTCTGGAGGGTTTCCATGCACCCAGAAAAAGCCCTGAAGATTCCGGAACCATCCTGGAGCGTCCATTTTCATTCATTTAATGAGCACGTCACCCCCAAATCAACTTTTTTTTGCTGATAAACTATATAAATGAGTCTCTGATCATGCTGTAGACACATGTAGTGAAGAATTTGGAACTTTAGTGCATCTTAGTTAAAATTAAAATATTCTGTCAGTGTTGTGCCGTCATCAGGTAAAAACTCTGCACTACGTTTGAATTTAAATCTGCCATTGCTATTGGCTAAGAGGTACACAGTGACGTTAGCTGGCACATTATGATGTCACAATGCTGTTGTGAGCCTGGCTGTGTGTATTTGTTAGCATCTCCGCCCTCTCATTCTGCCAGGCAACAGCATTTGTTGCATTTTTCAAACAAGAAATGGGAGGGGAGTAAGTTTCTTGTAGGGGGTGACTTGCTCTTTAACAAACACAGTAATAGATATTAATTAAGGCATACGTAAGGAACATAAACCAGAAGAGTCAAAGCGTAACAACAACTGGGTCATTTTTTAGGGTGAAATCCAGACATGTGTCCATCCAAACCTTCTGGAGCAGAAATGAGGTTTGTTTCATCTCCAGTAGAAATGTGGTTAAAGCCAATTTAACGGACATCTTAGTGATGAACACACTCATTTAGTAAAGTATACGACAGATTAATCCTGTAGCTTATTACAAACTTCTGCTTCTGACCCAACGTGCTAAGGTCTGAACCACACTGAGCATTTCTTCTTTGATGAGACACGTCCCAACTTTCTTCACACAGAATAAAAGTCACATCCCGGAGAAACATCCTGCTGTGGACATTTGAAGACCAGAATAAAAGGAGTTACACCATCTTGATATTTGGAGCAAGGAATAAAAAGTCATCCTGCTGAGACGTGAACGCCAGAAGATGATTATTACTGGAGACTTACCAGTATCATGTGACCAGTGGAGATGTCCATGTTTGAGTGGGCGGGCTCTTCGCTCCACGACGAGATGCTGCCGCGTGCCGAGGGGCTCATGGCCGCACCGCCGTCGCTGAACTGAGACGAGACGCTGTTGATCCTGGAGGAGATCGGTTCTGGACGCTCCACCGGGGGCTTGACCGCCATCCGCTGCCGACAGAGTTCCTACAGGAGGGAAGGCAGGTCGGGATAAATCAGAGCTCCTGTTCTGCTGGGTGCAAGAAGAAAAGATAGTCCACGTACAATTTTGATCGGAAGCATCTCAATAACTGATGCAATTAGTACAAAAGCTCCTCGCGGCCGACGCTTTTCCCTCTTCCTTCACAGAGAATGACAAATAGAAACCTGACATGTGAGACTGCAAGTCAAAGATAATAAAAGAAATAATAAAATATACATTCATGTGGCTGAGCTCAGAGAAGACTCTGCTACAGTTGCATCAAATGAGATTGACTTCTTTTCATGAACTATGAGAGATGATTTATTGATGCTGCATTGTAAATCCCCTCAGACATCACCTTCCATCATCCTGAAAATATCCCCGGTTGTAAAATCTCCTGTAACATCCGCTTTGATGTCACGTGTGCAGTCCAAGCTCTGACTTTATTTAGTGTTTGGTTTTTATTTTACGTGTTCCTGACTCCAGAGAATAGAGGGTGGCTACTTAAAACCTGGGAAATCTGGAAAGAACAGTGAAAACCGGCACACTCTTATTCATTCATAAGAATCCTGTTTGCTTTTGTTCACGGTCAGGCAGAAGCCTTTCATTTCCACAAATAAACCATTTCTGGAAACGCATATTTCTTTTAAAATAAATAAATCAAGTTTGGTCAGAGGTCATTGGCTCTTTCCCCAGCTGGACGGGAAATAAAGAAGTGAAGAATGATCAGTAGAGTCCATTTATACCTAAAGATGATGAATAATGGAGATACAAGGTTTAAATCTGAAAGCAAATCTTTCCTAAATCAACCAATCAGGGCCCACAGGAGTCGGTCACGCCCACTGTTGCCATGGTGAATTTTTGGAAAAGACAGAGTGAAATTAGGTATTTGCAAAAACATGTCAACATTTGCACGAATTGTCTAGGTGTGCTTTAGCTGCAATGTGTGTTTAACTGGTTTAGAGCAGAGGTTAGGGTTAGCCAGCGTGTTTTAGTTGTTTCCCTGCTTTAACATAGCTTAGTGACCTGCTGAACAGGTGATCCAACTGTTGAATTAAGCATGTTGGAACAGGGAAACAACTAAAGCATGCTGGATAGCGCCCCCCTGGGCCAAGGAATGCCCACGCCTGATTCAGAGGACAGTTCTTGGCGGGTTCTGGACGCCTGCAATTCTGCAAGTCTGAGGGTTTTTTTTTCAGCTCAAACATCCAGTAACACCTGCGCAAGGCCTGGAAACACGATTAAATCAATTTCAAGACGCCCTGGAAACTCATACAAAAGTTCATCCATTTAGTCGTCAGCAGTCGTGAGAAAGGGGACTAGATCAGAGATGGGTGGCAGAGCCGAAGCACAGCAGAGAGGGATGAGGTGGTTTCAGGTCATGTCTCTTTAAAACCTGAAATTGTTACTTCTTTAACCTGTTTAACCCTAACGTCCCCCAAATGGGGGCCTCTACAGTTTCATGTCCCAAACATCTACAACTGTCCACATTCCCCAAACACAACTAAAACCACAATCAAACAGCCCAGATGGGAAACGTGGCCATTTTAAATTGTAATAAATTAAGATACAATGATATTTGAACTTTAATTTAGAAGAGCTTCTGACCTTCTCTGGTGTCTGATGAAAAAAAAAACCCTTGAACAAATGTAGTTGAGGACCCCTGGAATAAATAAAACAATTGACTAAATTTCCTAAATGGAATTTGAACTCACAACCTCCATCCTGTCAGCACTTTCACACAGGGCAGCTCTTCTAAAATGAAGTTAAAGTATTATTTTATCTTAATGTATCAAAAACCAAAAATTGCTTTTTTTACAATCTGAACTGTTTTGATTGCAGCTGTAGCTGTGCTCGAGGAATGCAAACCATCACTGACACCTGGGACATGAAACTCCGAAGGCCCCCAGTTGGGAGGGTCCAGGGCCCAAAGAAAAAAGACCTAGGGCCTAAAGGGTTAATACATGACTGTTAGTGTTCAGATGCAAGTTTCTGATTTTGTGATTAAAGGTGAAAACTACAAGAGTTCTCAGAGTCTTTAAAGGTGTGCCCAGTGGACAAACGTGTGTTCATGGTTTGTTGGGCAATACTCAACAAGACTTTAAGAAATCACGACATTTTTACACTTTTGTACTTCTTAACAACGCTGCATTTACCATATGACAAAGCTAAGTTAGGTATTAGTATTAGTCACCTAACCATCCTAACTGATCAACACCAGACAGTTAAATAACTTCTGAGAAAGTTTTCACTGTAAAAATAATAAAAAGAATGTTTAGAAAGTCACTCGGTCTCTCAGCAGCAGATACAATATCTTCATTTACACGCCTGAGCTAACTGTCATTTTCTGTCTGCTGCATACGTGACCACAATGAAACATCGACACCATGTCTAACAGTTCCCTCACGCCTCCTCTGCAGGAACGTCAGTGAGCAGCAGAGACTGACAGAAAGATTACTGTTCAAAATGTTCAGCTAGGATTTATTTCTGTCTAAAATGCAGCCTGACAATGAGAAACCCTGTTAAACCTGCACACGTTTTACTTTCCTACTACTCAGAGAAAAGTCAGAAGAAAAAAAGAGCATAAATACTAAACTAGAAGTTCAGCTGCAATCTTACATCTACACAAATGTTAAGGAAATCATGACAGCAAGCAGCAGAAACGAACACGGAGCTGATTTTCAGAAGAACCCCAGTAGAACAGGAAATACTTTATCTTTGGCTTGGCTTTCATCACATTGGTATCCAACTGGAAGATTAATCTAGTCATTGTTGGTTTATCACTTTAGCAACGTGTAAACAAATGAATTCACATTTAGGTTGTTGTGGATCAACAGGAAACAGGAAGTAGTGCACATTAAGAGCTAAATTATCATTAAAGATGATTTCTACTTCCTGTGCCCCAGCTTCAGGCCCAACTTTAGTGTTTTTCTTAGCCGCATGTTGGCGTAGGTTTTAATCTGATTTGATGTTCTTTTATCACAGTGGTGTCAGCTGTTGTGCTGTTTTTAAATATGCTGTTTAAATAAAGCTGCTAATGTCTGAAAGTCATCAAGGAGCCATGAAAGGAAACACTTTACAGAAGGGAGGTTGAGATGTACACCAATTAGTCTCGTACAGATCAGAGTTTCAGATCAAATAAAGTTCATGTTGAAACTATTCATGTTTGACAAGAAGCTGCAGGTAAAAGAATTAGGTAGCATTAAGGAGTGAAATGAAAATTTGTTATTTTTATTGTATAAAAATGCATAAAAAAGATAAAAGAAACAGATTTGGTTTAGGTAATAAAACTTTTTGTTTACTGTCAGATAAAAAGTCAAGGAGCTAAACATTTTGTAAGAATTTAACACACTTGCTAACATTTCATGTTATTTTGTCTAAAATTATGTAAGTTTTGTATTATTTTGTGCCATATTATAAAATATAATAGTACATTACATTGTTTCACAGTACTGTGCAAATGTTTTAAGCAAGTGTGAAAAAAATAAAAATACCTTCAAAATAATGTTTTAAGTGGTTTTTAATGTATTTATGGAAGTAACAGAGGGAAGTAGATCTGATCTAATCCAGTTGGTGAATATTTCCTACATCTTTGTCTACATCAGATCCATAATCTGCTCAAAGTATGTCTGTTTGCATTAATTAGAGAAAATAGATTTTTTTTATTTTATTTTATTATAATGTGTGGAAAAAAATAAGAATGTAAACTTTTGTTGTTCACCAGGCCCTTTTATTTTGAAAAACTGGGCATAAATGACAGGAGGAAATGAAATAGTAAAGAAATAAACTTGTAACAATAAAACATTTTCTAAACAGGCGACTCTGACCCTCGATCTGTTCACGGTTTGCAGGTTATTTAGTAAAACTGCATCGCTTTGTGTTGGATTACAGGAGCCCATAAATCAGATGCATTGGCCTACGAGGACACGGACCACAACAGAACACCTGAGTAAATCTCTGTGGGAATCTGTGCTTCTTAATGAGAGCGATGCTGCTGATTAACCGGCGGCGGGTTTGATTGACGCTGAAGGTAATGTGAGCAGGCCTTCATTAGTCTGTATCAGATCTAATGGATGTTCTCACAGGTCGGAACGACGGCACTGATCTATGGGTTCGGACACGGACTCATAAATGTGTGCAGATTATTAAAGCGCTCCTGTACCTGTCCCAGGGATGAGGACAGCGCTGCTGGTGGGAGGCCAACAGCATCACGCTGCGTGAGACAAACGCTGAACCAGACTTAAGGTGAACGGTTTACATTCATCAGGGAGGTTTTTTGCAGGTTGCAAAATCAAACTGCTAAAAATGTCAATTGTTTTTTTTTCTGAATTGCTTTCAGTAGATTTATCCATAAAAAAGCTTAAACGTAACAATAAATAACTAAATGTGAGAGGTTTGGGTTAGGTACGGAGGCATATTAGGGCCACATCAAAGGAAAACAGGGAGGAATAGCTCCAAATTCAACTTCATTTATTCTATTATTATTATTGAGGCTCATCAGTGCTTTCTTAGAGAGAAAACTACACAAAACAAAACATTTTCTAAAATAAAAGTTGCATTATTTTCACTCCCACAGCTGTATTCAAAGAACTTCCTTCAGTCTTTCACAATAAAAGTCTCAAACACTTCAAACCATCTGCAGCTCATGAAACTTGTTTATTGGAATTGTTAAAACCCACAATGAGTCGTAGTTATCGCCACCTGTGCTGGAATCACTTTTCGTTCATTCATTTCATTCCTATAACGACTCTAGAAAACCTATTTGTCCTTTTCTTCTGAGTGTGTTAGAAATCAGAGTAAAAAATAAACCAAATTTCGATTTTACATCATGTTTTATAGCTGCATGTCCAGCACGCATGTTATGAACCCTCAAAAGCTCACTGTATCAAAACCAAATCATATTTTAGTTTGAAAACCATTTATTGATGCTCAAACTCAGGCAGCACAAAGCTAGAAAACGTGTTATTCCTGCTAGCTACTGATGCTAACAACGGCTGCGATTAGC